CATAGATACAAAAGATTTACTTTTATTTTTGTCAAAATTAAATATAGCCCATTTACTTCCATAGGCGAAAATTTTAAAAAGTAAAAATATTTTTTTAATAAATAACAACTGTTTACTGTTCTTATTATTGAAATTACAGTTTCATATAGAAAATAAAAAATAGAAATGTACAACAATGAGCAAGACAATGAGCTAATAATAGGCGGACTTATCGCTAAAAAGAGATTTGTTTATCCATTACAAAAAAATAAATTATACCTTCTCACTTTATAATGCTAACTTAGATTTATGTTTTCATTGTTTTCAAATTAAGTTTAGACATTCCTTGAAATATGCAAGATGTACTTATCCATTTTCGTAACCCATTTCAAGACAAAGCAAAACTAAAATAGTGTCACTCCATAGACACGTCTGTAAGTTAATCCTACTATATGACTATGCACATAGAAGGATTAATGTACAGACAGCACAATACGTAATTCATAGATAAGGGAGATACTCCTAGGAAATGTAACTATTTGGTATCATAGATATATTAAAACTATGGCATGTATGAAACAACTAAATCTAGTATTATCTCTTATTACGGACGGTAGGGAGAAAATATGAATAAAAAAGTTTTACGTTCATAAGCGGCCTACATGAATACCTAAATGATTTTTGATTTGATTTGATTTATTCCACGTGACCTAGAAATGAATTTGTTCGCGATAGAATGTAACCTGGCGCTCGGTGGTCTAGCTGTTGTTGTCTTAGCTAGCTGTCTAGCAAACAGCAATACTTCCGATAGGTGCTGGTTCGATTCTTCGCATGATGCAATAATTTTTATTACGTAGTAGGTACATCTGTTGGTATTAAAGACTTGAGGGATGGTTGTTAGATTTAAAATGATTTTGATTAAATAAAAATGCAATGTTTCGTTAATCTATGTTAATTAGAATTTGCTTTTTTTAATCTTTCTATTATGTTTTACGGACACGGCAACGCACATATTTATAGGCCAGTTACAATTTTGTTCTTATACAGAATTGTACACTGAATGTTTTCTATGTATTTTATGTATACATTAAAAAAATGTGTGGAAATACTTACTTCCCTCAGTTGTCTAGTACCCATAACACAAGCTCTGTTGTAAGATGGATCTGTATGGGTCGACATATTTTTTTTAAAATACATAATATACATAGATAACACCCAGATCGATACAAACAATCACACTCATGAATACAAATGTTTGTGCCGTTGGAGGAATAGAACTCGCGAACGTGTATAAAAATATTATTGATGTATACATAAAACATTTCATGAAAGTGAAATAGTTACAAATACTACGACGAATCGAACCCGCGAACGTGTATGAAGATATTATTGATGAGTATACATAAAATAATTGGTTAAAGTGAAACGGTTACAATTAAACCAAATTGCAGCTAAATATACACACATGGGTAAGCAATTGGGACGTAAATAGATTGCAACAAGCGAGTTAATATTTAGTTACGTCTCGTGTTGGTTGCATCTTGTCATAGTGTTTGATTAACACGGGAATTAAATATGTTTAACGTTTCTAATATTTTTTTTATAATATATCTCTTATTTCAGTGTGCGTTTTGGCACAGGCCTCCTCCAGCGACTTCCATTGATTTCTATCCTGTGCAACTCTTCTCCATTTTGCGCCCACAGGTGACTTCAACTCATGTTAGCATTTCATCATCAACCTACCCATTTCTCTTTCCATCTCTAGAATACCACTCTATTGTTTTTCTACTCTATACTATACTACATTTTTCCCTTGTGTCACGCATCATGTGGCTAGCCTATTGCCACTTTTGTTGGTATATTATTCAGTGTGTGTGTCAATTTTGTCCTTGACATAAGATCTCTGTTCCAAACCCAGTCTAGTCTTCGTACACCTATCATACTTCTCTCCATGGCCCTTTGACAGGTGGCTAGTTTTGCTTTGTGAGGTTTGGTCAAGGCTCAAGTTTCGCAGCTGTAAGTTAGGCATCGTATGGGAGTATGCAGATATTGAAGGTTTTTCTTTTTATTTCCATTGCTACGTCCTAGACTTCATTAGTTTAGGACAATACTTTTTTTAAAAGTCTGGAAATATTCCAAAGACTAAATACCAGCCGGAGGGAAGGCAGATGGGGAGTATTTGGAATTAAACGTTAATGTTAAAACTTTGGATTTTTTAAAATTTGAAATCTGTTATAAAACTGTGATATATATTATATATATCTTAAACCACTATTTTACTTATACTGAAATGCAGATTGAATAGTAGTAAAATTAATAACTATATAGCAAGCATTTTATATTTACTATACTACCTTTCATTATATTTACTGGCACTAACCATTTTGTGTTAATGATTTGAACATGATTTCAACCTAGTAACATTGTCTTTCTTTGTATTTGTTGTATTACTATTATGTGCGTGCTGAAGATATAAATCATTCTGTCTATCTATCTATTCTTCTATATAGTCTTATTTTTAATGTAACACTATCTGTTAAGCCTATAATTGTGTATAGTTTCATTAGGTATTATGCAATAAACATTGCTATTATTATTTGAATATTTAGCTTATTTTGTATTTTAACATAGTAGAAGTCTAAAGTTTCTTGCCCATTATTCTTGTGCTGAATCTGCATTCTGCATTTGTGTTACATTAAAAATAACAGACTATTCAAAAGTGTTTAATAAAGTATTTTCTGAATCTGGCTTAATAAAAGTATAAATTATATTTAAAAACAAGTTACAATTACAAATATAATTTGTCAACTAATAATAACATTTAACGACGTAATTGGAAACCTACGAGCATGAAACCAAACTCGTAGGAAGATTAAATTTTTCAATCTACTAGGAAAATCTTGACAAATTGCCAAGTAGGAAGATCGTATAGCACAAGTAAATTAAAAGTTCTAAAATCAGATATTTTTAATTTTAAAATAATTCCTTTGTTAATTGACTAACCACAAACCAAGATCTTGACAATGCCAATAACACTACACAGAAAATGATTCATTTAATTATTGACTAATCACAAACACCCCAAGAGGTTGACAATGCCAATAATACTAGAGTTAACAGCGAAGTCGTCTGTTTTTTTTTAAAAGATAGCCATATTAGTGTTCTATCTTTATTTAGATATTAAACGAAAAATTTTATCTCTTTGTCGTTTTGACTAGGTTGCCACTAGCCGTGGTCACGAACTGACTAGAGTAATCTATCTTCACACCTAATTTTATTGACATCGTTCAGCCTTCATCATGTTCATCATAATATTATTTGATGACAATCACTGGAAGAGATAACGTTAGCGATAAGACCGCCTTTTTTACCTGGTTTATTATTCAATCTATAGTTTCATTTTACATTGTTTCGAATTTTAATGTTGGTGCAATAATGTGTTGTAGATAATGTAAATTAAATAATACAGCTTTTTTTGAAATTATATTATTATTGGTTAAATACTTTTTTGAGTACATTACATTAGAAAGCAAAAATCAAATCTTTCTTTAGTCTATAATTTAAAACAAGTTTATATATGGGGTATATTAATCGCTGTTAAAATAGCTAATAAGTAATCACTGAAAAATATTTTAAATTGGCGATGAACTTTATTACAGACAAATGAATCTAACCTTTTCTCCTTACATTATTAGTTTATACAACGTTTAGGACCCTTAAGATGTGAATTCTTTCCAGATTTTCTGCTGAAAGTGCAATATAGAAACCGTCTAGGGACACTCCAAGCTTATGAAATAAGCAGCTCAAAGAATAACATATGACTTTGATGTGGCTATAAAAGCTGACTTTGTAAACTAGATTACTTACTCCCTTGATGCTCTTTTCACGTTGTCTTGAAGGGTTGGTCTTGAATAATGCATTGCAACCCTCCCTGCAATATATTAGCAAAGGTTTACCATTCGTCATAAGAGTTGTTTTACATTACAAAATTATAAATAATACATTTATAATCCTCGGTATCCTAGTGTCGGTTTTGATAATATTTTATGCAATTGGACTGACAAGACTGACGGTCCAACTTATGGTAAGTGTGGGTCGTTCTCAATCATGAGCACAGCCATCATATGATATTACTCATCCGTTTCGGAGGACTAAGATGTTATGGCTTAAATCTTGTAATTTTACTGCCTTATGTCACTCTTCAACCGAAACACAGCTTACAAAGCAAGACGTATGGTAACTGAAACAGGTAGATAGGGGTATTTGAAGTTTAACTTGGTGATTTTTGTTATATTTAGGGACATGCATAAAAAACAATAATCTTTAAACATTTATTTGTATCTCAAAGTTTAAGATTTGGCTGCACCATTACGAGTCAACAAAAATTTCACATTTAACACCAGTAAAGATTTCATCTTACATATACGTATTTTATATTGGTATTGAATGACATAGAAAATGAATTAAATTTAAATTAGACATCTCCCATTTATACCGCACATACAAATGAAGTACACACTGCAGTTGAATTTAAATTACCTTTTGAAAGCTATGAACAAATGTAGAAAATTTATATGTTAAAGATTTATTTCTACTGGTGATCCACTGTCTCTATCTGTTTACCCTATCTATTTTTTTTTCCAATTAAAATCAGCCAATATTACTCACTGATAAAGTAGTCTAATGAATGTGAAGAATTGATATAATTGGATAAGTTTTTTTTTGTAGTATACCTATTACAAACAAAAATCTATGATTGTCAAGTTAAAATAACAAATATAATATAAGAAATCGTTATATTTTCTTATATCATAATGCCCTGATTCTAACGTTTATTCTCACAAATCAAAACAAACGCATCTGATATTGATCACACCAAAAATAGCCTTGGCCGGTGTTTTTACCTAATGTTTGCCATTAGATCGCAGCCTGCCGAATTTCAAACACTCCTGATGTTATTAATGTATTTCGATTCTAAAATAAGAGGGGAATATCTTAGAAATTGATAATAAACCTTTCAGTTGAAGCGATTTCACAAAGGGTGCTAATCTTAGCATCTTAATAAATAGTCGATGTTTCCTTATCGATGTGTATAGACGTATATGAAACAGTATAGTGAACAATAGTGTTAAAATGGAGAAAGAAAATAAGATGGATAAGCTTAAAAATCGCCTAATAAAAATACAAGAGAAGATACAAGACCGCGTCGAAGATTTTCAAGATCAAGTGCAAAATAAAATGGAGAAATGCAAAATTTCAAAGTTAATATCAAACATGTCTGAGGAAAAGGGGTCAATTGACAGTACAGATAGTAGAAGCAGTTTAGACAAGTCTTCTACAATGTCATCAGATAATACAGAATCTGTAATAAACAGTTTACCGTCTGTTGTTATTGAACCATCAGAAAATAATGATGCTCAAATATGCGAACATTTCTTATATGCTGAAAGAAATGGAGGTATTTGGAAGAGAAGAAGTTTATCCGCCTCAAATTTATCGTTCGAGGTTAATAAGAATAGTAATACTTCAAGTGAATCATGTATATCCTGTTTATCATCTAGTGATGAAAGGTGATGTATTTATATATGTAAATTAGTTGTTTTGTTACTAACCTTTATACTCGTAATATATTTACCGTATATTTTCTGTATACATTTAAAAGTGAGCTGTTTAATTTATTATGATATTCTACTGAGAACTTCATCTGGAATAACCGTCATGACTGTATGTGTTTGCGTATATTCCTTAGTTTCTTTTCACTTAAGACTACACATTTTGAGTCTATTCCTTGCTTATATTGTTTGTTTTGTTTTCTCTATTATTTTCATTTGCGAAATTAACGTTAAAAGTTTTATCAAACATACTTTTACCATAGTTTTTTCCAAATAATATTTTTTACTCATACTATATCTATTACCAATATGATATGTTTAGTTAAATCATAATTTTAAAGACATCAGCAGCAGGTTTTCTGTAAATTTATTTTTTTAATTTATTGCATTAATTCCGTTATATGTTTTATTTATTATTTTATGTTCATTATTTTTTTTTATATATTTTATAGACTTTCACCAGATATTAGGCCAAGAGCTGGCAGTCTACCTCCAGATAATCGTGTCGATATACCGACAGCAATAAATACATGCACAGAACTTATGGAAAAACTGGGCAGCAGATTCCCTAGACTTAAAAGTAGGAGCGACAGAATCCACAGGGTATTTGTGATTTAATTTATTTGGTTATGGTTTTGTATTAACCATTTTTACTGATGTGCACTTTATGAGAAGTCGTCTACGTGGATACCTCAGTCTCGCTAAGCTGGTTGCTTTGTAAGCTTTTGCTTGAAGGGTGGACATTAAGGCAGTAATTTTTCAGTATCTGGAGGCATAACATTTAAGTCCTCCGGAATATGACATCATGATGTCCGCAGTGCATGCTGTTCACGTGGTTTGCCATTCCAACTACATAAAAAAAATACATAGTAAATGTTAGAACCAATTTGTTTGTTGTTTTTACACACATAATGGCTTAAGTAATTTTATCGTGGATTTGTATTAACACTTAAATATATTGAACTTACTGTTTTTGAATTAATTTGGTCGTTTTGTATTAACCTTTTTTTTATAATACATACAATAAACATACCGACTTACATTTACGATTTATTTGAGATATAATAAGGTAAATAATTAAATGTAGCGTCATAATAATGTAAACATGGAAATTTTAAGTTCTTAACAGCGAATAATTGAAGTAACTTAGCATTACGTATTACATCATTAATATTATGTGTCAGATATGAACGTGAATAATTTTGGTATGGGATATGGGATTTACGGTAATATTAACACGGTAAATTTCCCGTTTAAATATATTGTGCACTAATGTAGATAACTGTAAATAAAATTATAATGATCTTGAAATTTTTTTGTTTTATATTCGTAGTTTCACCAAAAACTTATATAATCTAATTATGTTAATAAATTATTATATATTACCTGTTCTATTCGAATCCATGAAGATACTTCTAGAATTGTGTATAAAGAACTATAACTAATTAATAGTAATGTAGTAATTATATATAAATTAATATTTATTGTATTAATAATTGCTTGCCGATGTGACTAACATATTATATAAGTAACATATATTTATAGGCATCTAGTTTTTACTAGTACCTACTGACGTTATAATTATTATTTATTTTGTTTTTTTACTATTTATATTGATTGTATACGTACAGTTATATATAGAGCTTAGCGAAATGGTATGGAAGTAAGAATGGGCAATATTAATGATGACTTTTTTACTATTTAAATTGATTTTGGAGTTTTTATTACTAAATATATCTAACCTAATTATTACAAATAATAAAAGTAAACCTAAACGAACTGATTACTGACTGAGAGGATGTATTTATTAACTGGCTTTTGTCTGCGTAAACAAACACAACTCAATCTCTGAACTCCTTCTTCAGTATGCTCTGAATAACATCCACATCTAATTTGTTAATTTCATAAGTTTGAATAAGTTATAAAGTTAAGTAGGATATGCCCGAGCTGGATTTCGCCTAGGGAGATTATTTTAATCGAGTTACTTTTTGTACAAAGTAGATTATTTTAAGTTACACTTTGTACACAGTCGTCTATGTGGGTACCTATGTCTCATTTTAGGTCAACTGAGAGATGGGGAGATAAGGCCGTGAATTTACTGGGTTCGAAGACATAATAACCTTTATTTCATATTAACCTTTGCTCCGGGATGATGACGTGATATACGTGATATTGTGTTACATAAAGAGCAACAGCACACCATCATATGGGCCAACAACTTGTTTGCCTGTTTATACAAATCATTAAATTGAAATGTCTGTTTATAATTTCAAATTAACAGCTTTCACAAAATAAATATACTGTACATATATGAAAAAATTAAAAAAAAATCTGTCTATTTTGCTTGCTAATCTATATCTCTGTACGGCTGGGTCAATTTTAATGGGATTATCACTTGCAGATTACTAATGTTAAAAGGCTTAACTTAGGCTACTTTTATTTTTTAAAAGTATTTATATTATTAAATAGAAATACCACGGACGAAGTTGCAGGTAACAGCTAGATCTACATAAAAAAACTTGACTAAATCATAATACGTTAAAAATGGTGTTGACTGGTGTTTTTTTATTAGGAGATAATACCCAAAATACCATAGACAAATGATTATTTAATAAAAGCTCTATTAATATTATGGTTTAATTTTTTTGTTCCAGTATTTATTGAAGAATACGAGGTTGAGTGACGTAAACAAAAGGCTCAAAGCACAGATATGGAGTTCGGTGGTCACCATCGTGCTGGTGGAGGCGAAAAACCTTCCTCCCATGGACTTGGACACGAGATCTAGTGATCCATATTGTAAGTTCAGGTGAGTATCATTACATAGTATAAAATAAAGTCGCTGTCGTAGTCTGTCCCTATATATGCTTAAATTTTTAAAACTATGCAACGGAATTTGATGAGGTTTTTTTAATAGATAGAGTGGTTCAACAGCAAGGTTTTTATAAATAATACCCCGTGCGAAGCCGGGGCGAGTAGCTAGTTAAAACTAAATTAAGGCGAGTAACTAGTGTAAATTACACTAGGTACTCGCCTTAGTCTGTAATAGTTTTAGTCAGCATAATTACCTGCCTAAACCCAGTTTCCCGGCGGTTGTTGCCCCCGAAGTTAATGCCGGGGCAAAGGAGTTTGCCCCAAGGCCTTAACCTTTCCGCCCTTAAGGGGGAGCGAATGACTCGTGTAAGAAATTACAGAAATAAAACACCTACGCCCACGTTATTGGTACCTACAATCCTTGTTCGTGTCAAATCCAATAAGATCTGTTCATCTGGTTTAATTGTGATGAGGTAACAGATCGACACAGATACTTTTGCAATACAAGTTGTTGCCCCTGACTTTGTTTGATATTTTGAATTAAAATATAGTCTATAACCGTCCGCGTGGCGATGTAATATGTTCACGGTGTATTTAATTAATCAGACACAAGGGTTCGCATTTATATTTGTTGCTGACGTACTGGCCATATAGTTTTATATTTCATATATACATTGTATTTTTTATTAAGAATTTTATTATATATTTTTATATAGCAATCGATTTAGTGTCTAATAAACATTGTGACAAACAACAACAATGTTATTCTAGGGTTCCATTGAAAATTGTTTCATATATACCGAAATCTAAATATATACAACTCAAAGGTGACTGACATAGCGATCTATCAACGCACAGCCCAAACCATTGGTCGGATCGGGCATGGGCAATTTGGCATGCAGGTAGATGTTATGACGTAGGCATCCGCTAAGAAAGAATTTTGATTAATTCTACTCTAAAGGGGATAAAATAGGGGATGAACGTTTGCATGAGACTTTGTCAATTTTAAACCGATCAGCTCAGCCTGATGCATTTGCATGCATAAAGCTACTATGACGTAGGCATCCCCTAAGAAAGGATTTTGATAAATTTCACCCCTAAGGGGATATAATAAGGCGAGCGAAGCCGCGGGCAAAAGCTAGTTTCATATATTTATGGTTATTCCTAAAAAACCTGTATCCAACAGTAGATATACTAGTAATAGTAGACTATGATTATAATTAACGCAATTATTGACATTAGCCAATAGTAAAATACAATTTAGAAATTAACTAGGGCGATCACTAATGGCTTGTATTTTCTTTAAACCGTATATTTTAAATATGCCCAATATTTCGTCACCTACAGAGATAAGCTTACAGGTAAACTTTGTAAAAGAATATTTTTATTTTAAATTGGTTATCGACCACGTTTATGTACCTATAATGCCCAGACACTTACAAACACCCATTATGCGATTATAATCATTATACCTATAGAAATAAATTGTCCAAGGATTATGAATATCCTTCTACAAATCGATGAAAAACAATGTTTCGTTAATAGAATACTAAAAGATGTGTTTACGTGTACCTTATGATACATGACGTCATTATAATATTAATAATTGTCGGCATTATTATGCTATTTATATATACCTAGAGATTATTAAAATTATGTATACAATGTAGTGTCTATTGAAGTAATTTTACCTTGTTTTTGTAGTTCTTATTCTACAACAGCCACGCTATTAGTTCCATGTCCCTAACCCTAGTAAGGGAGTAGGTAATGAGTGTTACCCTTATCAAGGACATTTTTAGTAGTAGTTTCTCAGTACTTATGTAAAATAACTTTATGAAATTTAAACTGAATCTTAATTATATAGTGTGTTTGTAATTAGTAAATAGAGAATTTATCTTTACATTTATCTAAAACTATGTAACCCTTCTTACGAAAATTCCGCAGAAGGAGGAGTATGAAATTTCGTATATTTATAGTTTATATAGAGAAGTGCGAAATGCTAATATATTTTTAATTATTCATATATGAATAAATTAAAAAAAACTACCATGTATTTGATACATACACGCATATATACTCTTTTGTTTATTGTTAAAGTCTCTGGTCTATGAGAATAGCTTAATATTGTTTACCTTTAATATTACCTATTTGTCTATAGTCTTTATCGATAGAGCCTTAATTAATGTTTAAACTTATTAATTATGGTAGAATTTCGGCTACTGCGCGACCACTAGTCTTGTCTACGCGTGATATGAATATATTGTTTCTGTTTTTCAATTAGATTAGGTAACGAGAAATATAAAAGCAAAGTAGTCTGGAAAACCCTACATCCGTCGTGGTTGGAGCAGTTCGACTTCCATCTATATGATGACCAGGAGCAAATACTGGAAGTCACCGTGTGGGACAAGGATAAACAGACAAAAGACGACTTTCTGGGAAAGTTAGTATGCCCAAGATTTTTTTTATGGATGATTATGGTATCGTGCATTCGCCTGTGCTAAAGGTAAATGTTGGAGGAGCAGTAAAGGATGATAGAATGAGCATGATATCAGGTCAACTATTAGCAATGAGCTTGTATCGTATACGCCAGGAATTAACCACGATGGTTTCCATAGGAGACCCCGTGGAACCTTAGATAGTATACAGCAATAGGCTAATTATTGATTGAAGTTCAGAACTGCTTAACCTATAATAATTATATGTGCCAATAATTCAATGACATAATTAATTATTGATTAATTAATTAAAATGACATAAATATAAAAATTTACATGCCTGTATTGAGGCTGATTACATTGAAAATTATATATAATATTGTATATATATAATATATAAGCATTGTATTCTGCAAATAAATGATTTGATTTTATTCTTTTATAGATGCACAATAGATCTCTCAAAATTGGAACGGGAGATAACTCACAGCATCTGGCAAGATCTAGAAGATGGCAATGGACAAATCTTTTTACTTCTCACCATAAGTGGTACCACTCAATCTGAGACGATTACTGATCTATCGAGCTACAGAGAAAACCCGAGGGATATAGCAAATATGGAACACAGATATGTAAGTTGGATCTTTATGGATTTATAACACGAATATTGTTGTGTTTCTAACTGGAATGGTGAATAGGTTCATAGCCTTGTAATCCACGCAAACAAAAAACTCACACACACAAATTGTAGTAGTCGCATCCAACGGGCATAAATAAACAAACCAAGTGATGTTAAACTTCAAGAGTGACGTCTAAGTCCCCATATAATTTAGCCCAGATTTTACATAATTTCACTGTAGACCACTAAGCAATGTGCGAGCTAAACTTGCCGTCACTCTTTAATTTTATAAATAATTCTTAGTAATTAAGACTATAAGTGAAATAGGCCAGACACCGTTCGATGTTTGAACGAATGTACAATACATTAGTACTCTTAACACAAACCACAGTTGCCACAAGAACATAGTCAGCGTTTTACAGATTTCATATGAAATTAACAAAATTCCAATTAAAACTATCCAACTAGAATATCGAAATTGGGACATCGATTGCGGCCTCGTTCGTTCTTCGGCGCGTGCAAGCTCTGCTCTCCAGCACTATTTTATAGAGCTGTATATACATGCACTGCATGTGTACACAAACACACATATTTAAATAAACGTATGTTGTATTCTATGTATTATTTAAATTAAGCGATTTACTTATTCTTCTCATCTGTTTTCTCTTTTTTCCATTTCATTTGTTGTGAAACTTATTGTATGTAGATATCACAATGTGTCTAAGATGGGGCTTTCTAAGTACAGATGTCTAATTAAAATTTCTAATGTAATTTAGGGTCAATTCTAACAAATTTTGTAACATCATAAAGTTGCTGTCGTATATTTTATGTTAAATTTGTGGAGAAATAGATAATAATCAAAATAAAATGGATATTCAAGCCTGATCACCAATTATTGACACCATTATTTATAAAAAATATTTCTGATTCATGTCTTTTTCATAAAACGAGTAATGTCTTTATTAAGTTTAGTCATTTATCAATATTATAACATTTCTTAGTGCAATATAACTTCTAAATTATAGTAATGATGCCAGCAAATAACCTTTGATGTCACTGTAAATACATTAAGGTTATATGATATTTAATCAATACAGTACTCAATACTGTATGTACCTAGTAGCGTATTTATATACTAAAATAGGCAATAGGCAGTTTCTTCCTCATCTGCATACCTTATGGGCACCAGAAACAAATAGCATTCAAAAGAGCTTATATTAAACTAACTGTTAAACGCAACTCTGTCTACTTCTTATTAAATTTAATACACATTTACATTTCTAATGTTACTGTAGTTCTACACTAGGCTTATAGGCCTGTATTGTAGAAACTGTAGTGACTTGCTGTTGTACATTTTTTACATGCTTCCCGGTCGTATTAATTAACAAAGTGAAAAATAGAACTTATGTTGAAAGAAGGCGTAAATTTTGAGATATAACATCGCTGATGTCCGTTCTCGTAATACAATGTGTATTCACGTTAAATGTCATTAAAATCATAGGCCTTAATTGTGTAATGATGTCAATAATTCTTAAGAAATGAAATAACAGTTTTTAATGAATTCCGAAATTTTACCGAATATCACTATGGATTTTTATTTTCAGACGTGGTATCGTCTAAATGAAACGTCTAGTGGGGTTGGATGGCTGTGTGTTAAAGTATACGGAGCTAAGGGTTTAGCAGCGGCCGACTTGGGAGGAAAATCGGACCCTTTCTGTGTCCTGGAATTAGGCAACGCTAGACTACAAACGCATACAGAATATAAAACACTAACACCTAACTGGATGAAGATCTTCACATTGTAAGTAGTTTTTTTGTCTAATCTAATGGTGTGGGTTACAGCTGGCCTTTATAGCTTCACCGGACGATAGAGGACGAGTGAAATGGCTCTCCAAACCAAACGAAGGAAGAACTTATGGACCGGCTGAAGGCCAACTCCTCCTAACGGATACGGTTATAAGTACTATTGAGCAAAGCCTATTACTCACTAAACAATTATTTAAATGACAAACGTCCAGTTTTCACACACCTATATCAGTGTAAATAACCTGATGTCAGAAAAAGATATTCAGTTAAGTTTTTGCCTGTTATTTTCAATTGAATTTGGACGGTAGAGAAAATACAAAATACTTGACGTTCATAAGCGGCTAAAATATCCTACTTGAATAAATTATTCTTAATTTGAGTGGCGGTGCATTTAATTTTCACTTTCCTCTAATGAAACATCGTGTTAATATTTTAATTTTGACTTTCCTGTTGATATTTTAATATTGACTGACTCTAATTACTTATAACACGATATTAAAGGGATCGATCATAATTCAGTACCTACCTATACTACTTTAGTTAACTTAGCAACAGTTCTTTTTACACAACTATGTTGGTAAACGGACTATCAGGCCACTTGATGGTAAGTGGTAACTATAGCCTATGAGAGAACAAGATTGTTAGTGAAATGGACTGTTAACTCTATTGCTGGCAATGTATGGTACATTGCCAGCAATGGGGCAGCATGTATCAGCTTGACCTCCATGCGGTTTGCCCTGCAAATCTTAATTATACATTCCTGGTGAATTTCGCGTTTAAGATAACAAAGAATTTTATAATATTAACAACAACAATTAAATTCAAACAAACAATAATTACAACTTATATAATTATAAACATATTAATTAAATTTTCAGTACTGTGAAAGATATATGTTCATATCTAGAAGTAACTGTATACGATGAAGATCACGACCATAAAGTGGAATTCCTCGGCAAACTATCTGTACCAATATTGAGTATACGCAACGGTGAAAAGAGATGGTACGCTCTAAAGGATAAGAAGATGAGGGCGAGAGCAAAAGGGAACTATCCACAAATATTGTTGGAGATGATGGTCATATGGAATCCGGTTAGTAAAAAGATCGAATTGAATTTGATTGCTTTAGTTTTGATGTTTTATCAAACACCACATATATGGTTCTTGCACATATACAAACAAATAAGGATTTGGTCAGAGGTATTGTGAACTTGCAGTGTCATGACGAACGAAACACTTGGCATGCTCAGATTTGGTGTGTATATTTCAATATAACGTAGCAGGAGTGAGATTACTGCCGTTTTAGCAAATATATTAATTTATGGTATTTACGGTCGCTGTAACAATTGAAGGAGAGTTAGAATTATAAACAGACACATAGTTATCTGGTTTCGCCCAGATAAAAACTGAATACTACGACACTCTCAAATATAAGTACTATATATTGTGATTAATATATTTTCAGTTGAAAGCAGCAATAAGGGCGGTAAATCCAAAAGAACCTAAGTATATGCACCAAGAGGCCAAATTTAAAAGACAGTTGTTCATAAGAAACGTAATGAGATTGAAAGCTATTATTATGTGGTTCATAGAAATTGGAAAGATTTTACAGTAAGTAAAATATAAATACATTAATAGTACACAATAGTAAGCCTTGTGCTACACCCCGTCATTAGATTATACTACAATAAATATCTTTTTCTGTATTATTTGACTATAAGACACATTCAAAAACTATAAATTGCTTTTATTCTATAATGAGGGATTTGTTGAAATGTATTCAGTATTGTAATTATATCCAATTTTTTTTCAGAGACTGTTTTGAATGGGAATCAAGATTATTGTCGTTCTTAGGCCTCTTGGTATGGCTGGCTTTTTGTTACTACTACGAAATGTGGATGTTGCCGTTTTTATTACTAATATTTTTCAGTCGAAACTTCCTCATTTATAGATTAACAGGTGACTATTACTTCTTTTGATACCTTTACTTATTAATCCATATTTGTTTTTTTTTGTGTAGGTAAAATAAGTATTTCTTGTGAAATATTTTTTGTTCTTTTAAATTGGTTTACTTGTTTTTGTTATTTTATAGTTCAATTTAAGCGCGTCTACCACACATTTAGAAGTAACCCAAGGGCATATATTTCTGTATTATTTCGTAGTAAGTTTGTATCCACTTATGTGTTTTATGATTGTTGGTTTATAGGCATGAAATCAGAGATATGTGGAAGTTGTTTTTCTTTTATGTTTTAACCTACTTACTATGAGTCGTTATGTAGATGATTTTAATTTAATTTCGATAGTGCATGTTCCTACTTCGAATATAAACTAATAGTTTAATCAGTAATAACAGTTTATTTTAACTTAGTTATGATTAAATTATTTTGTAATGTCTAGAATAGATGAAGTTATAACGTCACAGACGTTTAAAAATAAAAATTGTAGATATTGCTCTTACGTTTGCATGTTATTGTCTACGAACCTCATATTTTTGTTATATTCCCTGGACAATTCACACAGTGCCATCTAAACCTAAGCAGAGCTTATTTACTTATAAGTACTAGACAATTAATATAAAGATATAAATATATAGACACATTTTTTGTAAATTACTAATTTACATAATACACATAGAAAACACCCAGACCAATACAAACAATCTTACTCATGAATACAAATGTTTGTACCGTGCGAGGAATCGAACCGGTGATAATCGGAAGTAAAGAAAGTGCTAAACCACTATACCTCCGAGGCCGTCGCATAATTATTACTTAACTTGCATTTTTTGTAAAACACATTTCTGACTATAATGTTTCTTATCTAATAAATAACGCGTAATAGATTTATCGTAGTTAATTTGTTTATTCCTAAATGGCATTAATAATTATATTACAATAATATTTTTATATTAGATTTTTATCTATCTATCTATCTATCTAATATTTTTAGGAGGCAATCCTTTATTGATACCAGTTGATGATGACGATTTATTAGCTGAAGAAGACGACGAAGATGAAGCAGATAAGGTAAAAAATATAATTCTTAAAGTAAATTACAGAATTATTAATCAAAGTGAAGAATCTAAAAAAATAAATGTAATTATTAAATAATAACAATTATATGCACTCCATTCAGGAAGAGAAGAAATCACTAAAAGAACGTCTGCAAGCAATACAAGAAGTAACACAAACTGTCCAAAATGCTATTGGTTACGTAGCTTCCCTAGGAGAAGCAGTAAAAAAGTAAGTAGAAGTGTATGAGAAGAAATTTTGTTAATAGGTTTTAATGATGTAAAAAATGAAAATGATATATGTTAATGTCTTTTGTTTCAGTTTAATGAATTTCACGGTGCCATATCTAAGTTATTTAGCTATAATAATGTGCTTTGGAGCTATGTTAGTACTATATGTGATACCGCTGAGATACCTTCTCATGGCATGGGGTGAGTTAATAAAACAGTAACATAACAGTAAATAACAGTCATTTTAAATTGTAGTTGGGTATTGCACACATATGCGCATGTGTGTGCAATACTCAATGTATATGTATATGTTATAAACGACTCGTCCGTTCCATTCCTAGTTTGTTAATATTTGTCCGAGTCACTGTGCATGTCTGTCATCTAGTGCCGCACTACTTTAGAAAAGAAGTGATAAATGTAATGGTCAACAAGTTGTTTATCAACCAGATGGTCAGTGGTAACATTCGATTTTGTTTATGAATATCTGTGGTGCTACCACAGATGTCACAAATGTTCAATCTCATTTATCATTATCTATTATTATTAACTATAGCTTATAATTTATACTACCCTAGCCCACAACGTATCTACCAACTGTCTATTTAACTGTCACTAAAATATAATTTTAAAATAAAATTTAATTTTGTTTTTAGGTGTTAATAAATTTACAAGGAAAATTCTACGACCACATTCAATTCCTAACAATGAAGTGTTAGATTTGTTATCGAGGGTACCAGACGACGAAATATTAGTAAGTATATTTTATGTAATTCGTTATGATTTTTATACTAGACATACTACTCATGAAATATGCATAATACACAATAGTATTATTTTAGTATAAGTTTTGAATATATAATTCTGTAGTTAACAATTAAATTATTTTGATTTCTGTAGACTTGGTTGTTTATTACATTATATTTTTCTCCTTTATAGCAGTTCTTTTTAGGTCATAATTTATTTAATATATTTCATAAAGCATTGGCTTGTAAATAGTCTTTCTTTAATTTTATTCTCCACTTTTTATTTATCTCAAAATATTACACATTTAATAAATATTCTAAAATTAGCATTTTCATTTCACTATTTATTATTTGGGCAGCCTCAATATCTACCATATATTATTATAACTTTATACCATTTAAAAGAGTTGTTGTTGCTTTCAGTTGGACTGTAGAGAATTAAAACCTCATCCACCGAGTGAACATCGCCGGGATGCAAGAAAAAAACACAAAGCTTCGTAACATATCTCTTATAGTTGGTTTCGAGAACGCATCAGATATTATGTCTCAAAAATATCCACCAAATAAAGAGAGAGAAGAATACGATCACAAAAGAATATTTATACAATTATTACTATTATTATTTATTTGCATTGTTTCAATTACGAAAATATTTAAAAAACCATAATATCGTATGAACTCTAATTTGTCATCCATATAGGTATAAAAGATATTGATTGAAAAATAGTGATGGATGCTAAAATCGTTAATTGAAATAATAATCCTTTTAATATTATTTCATTTAACAGAATATACTAATAAATTGTAAGCACAGAAATCTCAGATGCATTTATATTTCACTATATTTTTTAGAATACTAGTTGATAATATGTTATTGCTAAATCGAACAAGAAAAAGATTTATCTAAATTGTATAATTATTTTGTACGTTATTTGTTTGTAAATATTACGTTTAGATTTTAAAGCTTAGTTATAAATGATAGTTTGTTGATTAGAATGGTGGTATAAAATCTGTGATTTTGAAAGATCTTAATAATAAATATCGTTAATATGTATTGTACGTTTATAACACCGATAAAAATTCCGGAGCCTGGTATCTATATAAAAATATAATTGAAAAAAAATTTGTATTTATAGAATATATTATATAAAATATCAATAGAGACTCCATAATTGCTTTCGTTCATAAGAACTAAGTCTTCCCAGATTTTATGTGCCCTCATATATTTTGATAAATTGCATTAAACAAATTTATTTTCTGATATCATAGAACATGTAAGTCAATAGATCTAGGCTTCTGGAAATAATAATAAAAACATTTAAATGATGTGGTGAGAAAGAATAAAATTCGAAGTAATAAAGTGTAAATTGTTAGCAACACTGCTCCAATATTCAAAAGATGTTGCAGTTAGGTCCCAAGTCGTATAAAATCCATTAGGCTACTGTATTTACATTTAGATAGGATTTTTAATAATGCCATTTTTGTATCAAATGTTGAATGTTGATTTTAATGTTGAAACATTGTTTGTTTAATGGAAATTTTATTATTGACATAAATTAGCATTAGTTCATTCCTTATCACTTCAATAATCAAATATTTACACAAAATAGTATAAGACTGAGACCAATCTCATTGATTAATAAAAATAAGTATAGATAGGGAAAATGTTTATACTTTTTGAATAAGCCATTTATTAAAATAAAAAAAAACAAGAGAGCTAAATGTTATGCGCGTTATTAGTAGCCCTATTGTTAATTTAATTTTTATGAATTCTAAAACAAATGTAGTAGATTAAACAGCCCTTTTTAGCGTCATAATTACGTATATACATTTTTTACTAGAAGTGAATTTTAACTTATCAAATATTTGTATTGTATATTCTAGCACAAATTAAAAAAGCACAGTGCTCGCGAAATTAATGAAAATGTTTTTAAAGTCTCTTATTAGTATAAAACCATTATGCGTTTTGCAATTTATTGAGGCCTTATAATTCACCTTATTCTAGTTTTTTACATTCTTTCCTCTTTAATGCTTAAAATAATTTTTTTTAGTTCGTGAGCTTGAAATCTAATCTTTACTCTGCTGTAAGGGGAACCATCTCATAATTTAGTAATAACAGATATATACACATCATTTCCTTATTATACTTATCTTATCAAAGTTTTCGAATGGTATTTTCCAACGTATTAAACTTTACACAATTTTCCCTAATTATTTAAAAACTATGTAATATTTTTTTAAATTCTATTACTAGCTATTTAAAACTTAACATAGATAACCTTAATATAGCTAGAAGCGATTATTAATTTTCTAGTCAATTGCTTATTAAAAGACTATGTTCCTGAACAATTTTAGATTTTAAGCATAAAATATTATTTTTATAATAAAAGCACAATTTAGAGCACTTTTTCTAATACATAATGCACATGCACCGAGGAATAGACAAGTGTTAGTATACTAATAATCTATTGCTTAAGTACAATTTGTGATATTTCAATTTATGTAATTGTTTTAATGACATATCTAATATTATTTTGTACTGAGTTAGACTTTGTAAAAATCTACGTTCGTATCTCTGTATCACCTACTTCGGCCGCCAATACTTGCTTTTGTAAGCTCTAAGCTGTATGTTTCGGTTGAAAGGCCTGTCATGACAGTAAAACTACAGGACGTGAAGCCATGCTATCACTATATCATACACGTCCGTGATAACATCACGGACGTCATGTGATAACGTGATGTTCGTAGTGCTGTTCATGTATATAGGCGACGGTTGCCACTTAATGGCTTGTTTGTCATTTTACTTACATAAAAAAATATATTTATGTTAAAACGAGTACCTACATAACATTAACCTCTTAGCCGTTAAAGAAAACATTTTATCCTGTGAAGTACAAACTACCATAAAATAACCTAATTAGAGTATTCAATGAATCATCGTTATCATCACAATAAGTAACTCTGATGTCTAATCTTAAACGATTTCCTTTCAATCAATTTTTGTACTGTAATTTTGAAATGTAATCAATACTAAAACGATAATAATGACAGTCAGACCTTGAGACAGAACAGAGCTTATTCGAGGTAGATTGTAATAAGGTCTGGGTGGGTAGTCTCGCCTACTTCAATAATCAAGCATCGTATAAGCAAGCATCTTTGTAAGCTGTTTCATTTCTAGGATCAGATTAGACAATGAAATTACAGGTTAAGAGGCATGACATGTTAGTCCACTGGAATAGCAACGTATGAGTGGTTAGGGTGTCATGATAACGTGATGTCCGTAGTTCTGTTCGATATAAAAATTGTCTTGCCGTCAGCTTCTGCGTCATTCAAAGTATGTACATGAAAAATATTTCATTGATCACGAAATATGCAATTAACACGTTGCTGGTATAAGTATTGCATTTTAAACTCCTGTATAGCAAAAATAAATATTTTTATTCCTAAATATCTACCTGTACGTTTTTTACTGTCCTGAATATGACTAAACTTCAAAGGTAGTGGCTTCTGTACAATATTAGTTTTAAAGCATTTTAAAAGTATGTTTTAATAACACCAATATTTAATAATGAATACATTATTCTTATTTGATATGTATATTTAAAAAAATGTTCCGCCCGTAGATAGTGTTACATAGACAAGACATACCTCTCTATACCTAAATGTCACTATTATAAAACGATCTACACACAGCCGTGAAATCGGGTGCAAAAAGTAGTCGGGTTGGAGGGAAGATGGAGGGCACCACAAAGTGTATAGAGTGCACACTAATGTAAAGTCGACCTCGATTTGCCACTAAAGATATAGGCTAATAAATAAATAACCCTGGACAAGTAACACAACGCCATCTAGTCCCACAGTAAGCAGAGCTTGTGTTATTGGTACTAGACAACTGATATAAATACTTAGATATATTTTTTAAAATACATAATATACATAGAAAAAACCCAAAACAATCATACTCATGAATACAAATGTTTGCATCGTGCGAGGAATCGAACTCTCGACCATCGGTAGTAAAGCGGTATGCCACCGAGACCGTCAGAGGCTAATATGTATATCATACAAATTTCCAAGATTAACAAAGATGACCATTCGATCTTCAGAATGTCAACGCATGAAGAGTAACACTGGCTTCACAGTTTAGATCACAGAACACCAATATCCTTTAGATTGTAAAATTTGTGGCGTCTATTTATATATATAGCTCTTATTATATTCTATCAGTTATACCGTCTGCTTATTTGCCACTCGAATTGCATTAAAAAAATCGACGACTTTATTTTATTATTCTTAAATTAGCGTCCTTAGTACGTACTAGTTACTTTTCAATTTACGATTAAAGTTCTATATAAATCTACTTATTCATAAAACTGTGTACTTCTATGTCACCAGTATTATAGGTATTTATAAGCAATACTCTACTTCCGTGTTCTAACTAAATTTGGTTAGTTATTATTTATAATTCTTCCGAAAAAAATCACTGTATAGATTAGATAGGTCTAGATAATCAGATTTTAAAATAATACATGCAATTATTTTATGAGGCACAAAACGATAAAAGCTATTGTTAATGCTTTTTCATATTTTAAAACATTAAAAAAGTTATGACAACAATCGTATTTTATTTCATTATTTAAATGTTTCCCATTTTCCTTTGCCTGAAATTTTATTCATGTCGATTATAATAATGTGTTAAAACGAAATAATAATAATAATAGTCATCTTTATCTATACATATAAATAAAATTGGAGTGTCAGTTTGTAATTGAAATAACCATTTTTTTACTACATATGTACGTATGATTATAAATACGGTCCTTACACTAAAATAACATTTTTTGCAATTTTCTGTCTGTCTGTTTGTTCCGGCTAATCTCTGAAATGGTTGGACCGATTTTGACGGGACTGTTTTTGGTAAGTAGCTGATGTAATAAGGAGTAACTTAGGCTACTTTTATTTTAGAAAAAAAAGTTAAATTCCACGCGAACAAAGCGCGTTTAGCTAGTTTATAATAAAATTTAAAAGTAATGAACCAGACAAAACGTTCTATAACTCAGATGCCTTTCTGCTATTAAGTTATAGCTTTTATTAGTAAATTAATACAATAAGAGATCGACGACTATAGTAAGTATTTAAGTTCTAAACTACTACCACAGATAACATAATATTACATAACTAACAGAAATAACTGACTCTAAACACATTATTAAGGATAACTCAAAAACTACTGACCATACCTATGTTGACCAGAGTGTGTATCCCAACACAACCTTTCAAATTACAAAAATATTTTTCAGTCTGTTTCCGTATAAAAAATTTTGGAAACACACAAATAGAGAAGTAAAGGATACTTTTAATCAATACCACATAGGTATTACCATACCACTGAATTATCTACCAATACAATTTTAAGACTCAACAAGCAAGAAACAAATGGGTACCTATGCTTAGGTACTTACACATTATTAGTTATAATACCAAGTTAATCGGTAATGGAAATATATCTTAGCGATATGTGCCGTGCCGATATGTTGACTGTTAACATTATAATTATTAGAGTCGTCTTAAGCATAGAACTGAATCTCAATGGAATCTTTATTGTAAGTTGATATTCGTGTCGTGTAAGCTGGTAGGTAGATGCGCAGCATCTCTATATATAGGTACGTGGTTGGTAAATACTTGGTACTTTCAAAAGAAAAGGTTTGAATATTTTTGTAGTAATTTTTATTATCCCTAAAAAAAAAAGGCAAAGGAAACTGCGCTCATACAGCCATGTATGCATGTTCAATCATTTTAATGTCAAATGACACTCTGTGTCAGTTTGACGTCAGTGTAGTCAGTCTCAGTCATCATTATTAGCTAGCTCCCTAACTTGTACGCTTGTCTTGTGTCAATTGTCATTAATTGTCAACGAGTGGTCCTTTCCAAACCTAATTGTTGGAGTGCCAACTATAATTTCAGTAAAATACGCATAACTTTTGAATAAAATGGGTTCCAAATTACAAGAGTACAGAGATACAATAGAGCGCACTCTGAACGACAAAAGCACACCATGGGCGAAGTATTTTGAACTGGCTGAGCAGAAAACCGGCGTGAATAGAGTTTATCTGTTCGTCGGTGCGTTAATTTCCACGTTTATTTTTATCCTTAGCGGTACCTTTGACGTTTGAAATGTTAACTTGTCTTATGCAGGTCTGGTGGCGTTCACGGGTTTATATTTAGTGTTTGGTTTTGGCGCGGAATTGATATGCAATTCGATTGGATTTGTATATCCAGCCTATATGTCCATGAAAGCATTGGAGTCGACATCCAAGGATGATGATACGAAATGGCTAACTTACTGGGTGGTGTACGCATGCTTCTCAATTGTGGAGTATTTCTCTGACTTCATTGTGGGCTGGTTTCCGCTTTACTGGTTAATAAAGGTTAGTATGACGTTCCATATGTTTATGATAATGCAAATGATAACTGGGCGAGTCCAAGAAATATCTATATATTTTTTTATCTACAAGGAAATTTAACTTTTAATGCACTTTGATAATCATTGTTATATTTTTATTTTTAAAAGTTTTTTTTTATTAAGTAGGGTTAGAATGTGTATTGTTACCAGTAATGCCAGGTTGGGAATTATCTAACCAAATTTTGGAAGATTTCATGGCAATGGTAGAAACAAATGTGTGAGGAAAAAATTTAAGTTGAGAGTCGTAGTAGTTATTTGGTATGTAGGCCTAAAAAAGAATAAAACTTAAATGAAGGCAAAACCAATGTATAACAAACAGGCTAAAGAAAGATTTCTTTACTATTAAAGATTGCATTCTCTAAATAATTTCATTATAAAACAAGTGATAAAAAAATTGTTAGTGAACTATATTAATTGTATTATCTATATGACCAAGTGACATGTTTGCATTTATGGCACTAACATGTGACACTCCCATATGTAGTAATCACCATTTTGTTTATTTCTGCTATGAACCAGCTAAGGGTGTCTAATTGCAAGTTGACCTGAAATATAACAATCTGCATACCACAGATAAATAATGACACACAAAAGTTCTTATTTAAAACTTCAACATTGGAAATGCAATAGAATCTGTGGCCCTTGTTACCACAGAGGGCACATCATATTTTTCTAGGGTTTGTTATTAAACTGTAATTTTAAGTCGAATGAAAGTAAGCAATATTTCATTGCTTGAGTCATAAGACAAAATAAAAATAAAAAGTATTTTTTTATAAATATGACTTTTAAGTCTTTCTCATGTATAATTACATAGACTTTTTTGAGATAAAAAAGTTGAACTGACTTTATGTCCATACTCATGATACAATTATTTAGATATCAAAAGGCAGTTAAATTACAAATAGACACACTTCTGAATTTGTTATATTATTATGTAGTTTTGGGCGGTGGTAATCACTTACCATCAGGTGAGCCGCATGTTCGTTTGTCCCGTGTTATAAAAAAAAAAAAAGTAATACATTAACCACTTAATACCACCTTCATGGACATGTTTAATGAATCTGTATAGTTATTACTATTGAACTATTTTAGGCATTTTTTCTAGTTAATAATTTAAAAGATGGACAATACACTCCAATAGCTAAGAATGCATAACAGCCCAAATATAAGGTTAAATTAAAAATATATGCTATAAAAAATATATATATTAATTATCTATAAAACTTTGCTGTCATATCTATGTGTTGATTGATAGGGAAAAAGGTAATATTTCATAATTTATAGCCTTGACTGAGCTATAGAAATAATTATAAGTTTTTATATTACTATATAAGAACTATTAGTATTATTACTGTAGTAGGTACAAATCTACCTAATGAATAGTTACTCATTATGAACACTGCATAAACTTGTTTAATACTATTGGATTTCCAATATGTAACAATTATTTCTATTCTATATATGCATAACTTGATGAACAAGAGGGCTAGGGGGAAAAGGGTATTGTTAGTAATTTTAAAAAGTAAATTTAAAGTAGTATTAACACAAATAATTGTTAATATAATAAATTCACCATAAAATTATTAGTGTTAAAACTTATTTTATTAGTGTTATAACTATAATAATAATGAGTACTTAATGCGAAAGTTTAAAAATAAGTATTGTTAGTTATGTAGTCTAAAAGCCCCATTGCTGGTAATGTACCATGTCAGTCTGACCTCCACACGGTTTCACCCTGGAAACTATCAAATTCAAATTAAAAATATATGCTATAGGCTAACTGACCCGACTTCATACTTTCATCTTAACATCTTCCACTAGTGCCATGGCTGTGTATACCGTTAGCATAGGCAGGTGGACGATTTCATTATTATGCACTTAAAAAAAACTTGATGAACTAATGATATTAAGATCTAAAAACTAAGTCGCCCATTATAAATTAACCCCATATTTAACAGGCTTTTTATATTCTTTACTTGAAAAACAAGATTATGAATAAATTATTTTTTATCTCTCAACCATGGCAAATGGTATGATACCATTTGCCATATAGTGTTTTTACAACATTTTACATTTCATCTCCACCAGGCCAGAAAATTAGCAGTGAATTTTCCCATAGAAAGTGTGTGCTTCTCTATGTGTAAGTGTGTCTTTCTATCTATTTAAACATAGAGTAAACATCAGAATAACACATAAGCGTGTTATTCTGATGTGTAAGCTATATTACTGTAAAGTTCCGTCACAATCCGTTCAGTAGTTTTGCGTGAAAGAGTAACAAACATCCATCCATACTCACAAACTTTCGCATTTAAAATATTAGTAAGATTATTTATGTAACCCCGTTACACAGTAGTAGCAGAAATGACCAAAACTGATGAATCAACAGCCATTTTGATAAGATTGATATAATATTTATTGCATGTAAGCTGATAAGTGTAACCATTAATATATAATCAACTACGAATGTATTACAGTATCTTTTCAGTAATATTTTATGTTATAACATTCAAGGTCCGTTCAAGTATTACGTAATCAGATTTATTTACGCCCCCATCCCCTTTGTCAGCAAAAGTAAGAAAAGCTCGTACCCCCTCCCGCCATTCTAGTCTGTATCACCCGTTACAGTCAGCCGCAGCTGTAGGCTGTGTTTTGGTTCGAAGTTGAGATATGATAGTAAAATTTCAGAAAGTTATATATTTATAAACGAGGAAGTTTGTGAGTGTGGGTAGATGAAAGTTTCTTATTATTTCACGCAAAAACTACTAAGTGGATTTTAATTAAACTTTACAATAATATACCTTATACATCAGAATAAAACTGATATATAAATTTCACACAGGTGAAGCCCACAAGCCCAAAGTGACGAATACCATTTACCATCAGGTGTGATTTTCATATTTTTTGCAGTTATATAAAATTGAATATAGAAAAACTAAATATTTTATAAATAAAATAGTTTTTTCAGTAAGTTGGTGATGATATTTGTAACATCTGAAAATTATGTTGTAATATCTGAAATGTATGTATCCGAAAAATGTATATGTAAATACTATGCATTTTATAATTCTCTGTAAGTGTTAAAATAATTATTATGATATATTTAAAACGTATAATATAGTTAACAGAATATAGTGTTACTTTGTTATTATGTTTATTATGAAATATTAGTACATAGGCAGAGTTTATTTTCAGTGGTCGTTAATTACTATTAATTTACAATTACATTAACATCTACTAATAAAAAATAAAAAAAATAAACTGTGCTAGACAATTGTGGAAGTCTTTTGCAAAGTTGCCATTAAGTCTGACAAAGGAATATCCATAAACATTTACGTTCTTTTGTCACAAAACCCATTTATTGTTTCTACCTTATCTTAATGGGTTTTGTATTTAACTATATTTATCAGATTGAAGGACGGTGGTCATTAGTATGGATAAAACAAATAATTCCTACTAAACAGATAAACAGTAGGGAACTAATAACACCTTGTTAGTATGTACTTGTTAAATTTAATAAGAGATGATTGTACTATAATACTAAGGGTGTTCATGACTTTTCATTCTATTATTAAATTCAAATGTGTGTACTGTGAGGAATCAACCCGCGATCATCGAACGGTACCAACATTTGTAATCATGAGTATAATTGTTTGTATCAGGGTGTTTTCTATGTATATTATGTATGTATTTAAAAAAAAATAAGTATTTATGTGTTTTGTTGTTTATATCAGTTGTCCAGTACCTATAACACAAGCTCTGCTTAGTTTAGGACTAGATGGTTTTGTGTGAATTGGCCTGGATTTATTATTTTCATCGTGATTTGACCACTTGTGACTATTATAACAACGCCCAATATTGTTTCCTTTAAACGGCTACTCAAAATGGATAATAATGCCAAACAAATATTCTCGCCCACCAAATACAAACAAGTAATCCCTAATATCGGTTATGTTAGTGCTATATTCATATTTATTTGTAATATTTCTCATTTCTTAATGTCGTAATGATTTAGAACATTAGTAAATTATATTTTATTATTTGATAACAGTACAAGCAATCATATATTTCTTTAAAGTTTTATTTATCTACAGATAACGTAATACTAAGTAGTTTAACTTATAATTGCTTTCGTTACACACAAATACATATCTAATGTATATAGTTAAATTAAGATTAAGTTATATTAGTACTAGCTACTTGCCCCGGCTTCGCCCGGGTGTACATGTATTATACATATAAACCTTCCTCTAGAATCACTCATCTATTAGAAAAACCGCTTCAAAAACCGTTGCGTAGTTTTAAAGATTTAAGCATAAATAGGGACCGCGACTTTATTTTCAATTAAGTATTAAGCAGGTTACATTAGACAGCAGTGCCTTATCTGGTTGATCACGTAACATTGTACTCTATTTATTCTAACCGACCATGTGGAAGCTATCCAAAGCTGTCTAAAACTTATCTGATGCTAGAGAAAAAATCTAATCCAGACGCCTTTTAACCTATATAAGACTATCTCCGTCCACGTTTTAGGTTATAGTTTGTATTTTTTATGTTATACTAGCAGACACGGCCACGCGTTGCTGTGGCTGAGGTTCTTGAATAAGATAATATTGCAACTATAAATTGAAATGTAAGATATCCTATCTTTCAAGTTGGATCAAATTGCACATAATGTGCAAATCAATTTTGCAATAAAAAAAAATGCGAAAGATCCGCCTTCACAACTTAATGATGTAGGGTATATTACAGTTTTGAATTCGTCGCTTCGACTTGTTCCTAGCTTACGGTCCATTGTGCTTGCTTGCTATGCCTTACTATAATTACAACCCTGTATAGCATATAAGGGGAGTAAAGACTGAATTAAAACTAACTCCCCGTTAATTATTTATTGGAAAATTACATCACAGAACAATAAATTATATTTCGTAGATTGACCTTGGTAATGAACAGTTGTTACTTTGTACATCAGCCAGTTCACCGCCGGATGACGTAAATTTGATCCATTTGCCTACAGAGGTGAGATAGGTATTACGTAATACTTGATATGTGGGTTTTAGAAATTAAGTTAGATTTTTGTTAAAATAATCACAAATATCAGGATACATTTTGAAAACATAAATTATCTAAGTGCACTTCCAGTTAATTTTAATGATCTGACCTAAAATATGCTCGTGGACAAAAAATATATTGCAAAGTATCTCTATGTGTAAGTATAGGACATACTTACACCTAGAGATACTTTACATGATTTATGTTCCACAATATATATTTGAATTTGTACGTAATATTATAAATATAGGCGATGGTAACCGCCTAAAAGAAGGTGGTTCATTAGCTTGTTTAAAATTGCAATTACATACAAAATTTTTAAAGCCGAGTATCCAGATCACTAAATCTCGTCTGGACAGGGTTTCAAAGTATTATTTTCTTCATTACGTGATAGCGAAACGGAACCAAGTCTTATTATCATCGCATACCTATTCAACTATTTCGACTATTACTAATTCTCTCGCTACATTCACATTTATAAAGCGTTTCATACATACAAGTAGCAAAATACTTATCCATCTGATAACACTTAAGCCATCTGATTAATCAGTCTAGCCCTTCCTCGGTCCTATACCTATAACCTTTTATCTTTTCATTGTATATTTTAATAAACGGCCCTGGTGGGCTAGTGGTTTAGCACAGTCTTATTTCTAATGGTCGCGTGTTTCATTCCTCACACGGTACAAACATTTGTATTCACGATGATTGTTTGTATTGTTCTGGATGTTTTCTATTGTAAAATATATCTCTGTATTTATATTAGTGGTCTAGCTCTACAGCTGTATAGCTTGGGACTAGATGGCGCTGTGTGAATTATCTTGAGATGCTATTATTTAATGATCTCTTTTCTGTATTCCAGTGCGTTTTCATCATATGGTGTTACTTGCCCATTGAGTTCAACGGCTCTCTGATCATCTACCACCGCATCATCCGTCCGTACTATCAGAAGCACCACGGCCGTATCGACAATATGGCTGCCTCCGGTACGTTCCGTTTGAAATATATTTATTTGCGAATATGCGTAACTTTGCTATTAATTATTTTTAAAGTCGTATTAGTTAATGAAATAGTAATCGCAAATTTATTGATATGCGTATATGCCTTGAATTACGTATTGACTTTTGGTTATCTTCTATTAGATTTTATAGAGTTTTAGGATACTAAAATTAAACGAAATTATGATTTCTTTGCTTGGGTATCCGGTACAGCTTAATGCCATATGGCATGTTCTACCAGCTAACCATTGGGTAAAAAGAGAAAGCGGTTTAAGGGAAGTCATGGGAAATATAATGAATACCATTGTCCCTTACATTTGGTATTTACCTAACTTAGTGGTTGGTCTGTACGGGATCGTAGCTGCAGTAGTATGTATATGCTGGCTAGCCACCGTTTAAGTACATTTCAGATATTCATTAATACAAGCATAGAGATATAGTCATTTCATTTAAAAAGTGGCGCCAAGCTTAGCCCGCATTTTGCATAGTGGTCTACAGTGAAATTATTGGTTTTGGGCTAGACTTCATAATTGGAATCGTTTGTCCAAGGGCCGGTTTTTGGGGCTTTTGTCTTCCCATCAGGTGCGACCCCCAGAGTCTCTTTTGGAACGCTATATCTTGGGAAGACAAGAGCACCCAGAACTCTTTCAATATAAAATTCCACTGCTCCCAAAAAAACTAAAAGTGGCCTTACGACAAACAACACTTAGGTAAATATGTCGATACTAATAGTACATAATGAAGATTAAGATTATTTGTAGGTTCTTACATGTCCCACCAAAATCGTGAATGGCATGCAAAAGTGTTAAATGCTATTAAGTTTTATGTCATACTTATACTAGGTAGTATATTGTATCAGTTAGTTCGAGCGGTTGGTTTGTTTTCATCTACATTAAGGTATTTGTGTCGTCTTTTTCTCTCTGTATCAGTATTGAATGCGAATGGAAATGAAAATCAATCAAATTCTTACTTAATAAGTTACATATTACACTACGTATGCATGTTTCCATTGTAACGTGTTCATTGATGTAATGTTCATTTCTGAGTTGTTACTATATTATAAATTACATTGTAACGCACTTCGTTAAAACTCACTAATTGGAATGCAGCTGGTGCATAATTTTTTTATCAGTGTTTTGTTAATAAACACAGAAATAGAAACCGCCCACAAAATGAGTAGAACAATTTCATAAATAGCCGAGGCGGTGATTGTGCTACGATAAATAGCACTTGTGGCGGAGTATATGACTTCATTCCCAGTAATATAAGCCACAGATTGATCAGCGTAAATTCCTACCTACATATACTTGACCTTGCTGTCCTAGTACAGATACAAAAAATGCGTATTTATCGATATCGTCATTTAATGATATAAAGAAAGCTAAAGCCTAGTTTAGAATACAGAATTAAATTGGAGGGATATTTTCTCAAAACCTGAACCGAGGGTTACTTTTGGATAAAATTTAAGGGAAATATCAGATAGTCATCTAGCAACACTCAGTCATTACCACAATTGCTTACAAAGACTGTTAATATTCCCGTCTGGTCATCAATTATTGGGTTAAAATAATTATTTGAATACATCTCCAAATTGGAATTTGAATTAAATTATTTTTCACACTACATTGCTATCCAAACTAGACTATACACCAAGCAACATATATATTTAAATTTATAAAACTGTTAATTTTAGGAATAAACAATGTTGATATTGTGGCTGGGATGAAAATTGTCAATGAATCTATTAATGATATACGCAAGTCATTCAAGGATCTACACAAAGATTAAGTATCGTACGTAAACAATACAGTACAATACCAGCTTTGCATGGCAATATGTTGTCTATCTATGTATTGCTAAAGTAGTCAAAGGGCAGACTTCAATGTTTTATTGTTATTATTGTTAAACAATAACACTTAAAGAGATTCCATTAAGTAATTTTACACTGAATTGTACGTGTTTAAAAATTTTATTTGCAAAAGAATTGTTATTATATCTTGTGGTCGGCTCTTATACTACAGTCTTACACAACTGCACAGTTCTAACAGATAATACAAAAAGTACTATGTTACACTATATATTATATTAATATTGTGTATTGTTTATTTGTCTATGGTTGTTGGAACGATTATTTAAATTATATAATATTATAGGTTTAAAGTTCTATAGTATGGTACTAATTGAGAATATCGAAATGGTTAGGAATTCGATTTATTGTTAGATAGACACCATAAAATTGTAAGTGCATCTAATTCATTAAACACTTAGAACAAATCTAAATAATAAACCGGTGTTAGTACATTAGTACAGTAATAAATATCTGATCCCCATTTATTAATGGGTGATTTCACCTAAAACATAAATGACATGCATAAAACACAGGTTTTCCCGAATTGGGAAGGGTTCCCAAGGGTTGGGAACACTTGTGTTTCTATTCTATTTCTTGTCCTTCAAAATACAAATATCTGTATGAAATATATCATAGTATGACTGTTTCTATTGGTTGGGGTGTAGACTAATTATTTTATTTTTATTTATTTGTCTAGTATGGATAATACGAACTTGAATATGTTGAACCAAATGGGTTTGTGTAACTTGTCCAGAATTGTTTCCTATATTTTTTATATATATCTATATATTATATAAAATGTAAAGAAAAAAGCCCATTCCTTTTTAAAAGGCCGGCAACACACTTGCAGTTAGCCTGATGTTGCACAAGGTCATGGGCGGCGGTAATCACTACCATCTGGTGATCCACAGGCCGTTTTGTACTAAATGCACAAAAAAAATTTTTCGAAGTTACACAAGTGCTACCAATCCCTAGTAAATAAATTAATAATCCTGGACAATTAACACAGCGCCATCTAGTCTTACGGTAAGCAGAGCTTGAGTTATGGGTACTATACAACTGATATAAATACTTAAAGAAGTTTTATTTTGTAACTGTATAAATAGCATACATAGTAAGCACCCAGACCGATCCAAAAAAATCATACTCATGAATAAAAATGTTTGCAACGTGCGCGGAATCGAACCCGCGACCATCGGAAATAAATTGGTATGCTAAACTGCTAGACCACTGAGGCCGTCAAATTAGTAACAACAAATTACCTATTTTTCTTAAAAGAAATCAATGTCCGCCAGTTGGTGCAAAGAACTTACGTCAAGATTGAGAAGTCAATGAAAAAGTTATCACAATAAATCTGTTTTGTTGCTGTTTACGATACGCTATGTACGTTTTTTTTATTGAATATTCTAGTACAATTATTGTAGTATATATATAGTCTTTGGTATAATTAATCTATGATGTTTATAACGTACTCTGTGCAGTTTATAGAGTCTGTATTGAAAAATGGCGGGAACGGCCAAATTAAATGGAAGCGCGAATTAGCTTTTTATTTAAATAATTATTTAAATACATTACAATTTGGCCACGAGTAATTCACGTGTGTAATTATATACTATTACTAGTGCTACCACCTCTAGGCACATTTTTCTTTTGCTCCTATAATTTTTAAACAAAACTATTAAATCGGAAAAGCAAATTTTTTTGACGCAATTTTCATTTTCTTTCATAACGAATTTGATATCCTTTATTTTAAAAAGGCTAACACGTTTTACAATCCTATGAGTGTTGATAAAATATGTTCGGTATTTATAAAGAGTTAGTTCTTAGCTCTTAGTTGAATAGTGTAGACTCTCTAGTTCTCTATAATGTAGATACAATATTTGTTATCGTGTAGAAATTTAAGATTAGAATTAAAATTATTTGTAGAACTTAAAATAAATTTATCGAATATCTTCCTTCTCTTTCCTTGCCGCTTACATTTAGCTATGAAATCTAGATAGAAAAACAAGGACATTAGTCTTTGCATATCATATTTATTGGCGTACATGTATTATATTTTATATGCGTAAAATATTCGGACAATAAAAAAATCGTATTCAAGTGCGCGTCATGCATAACAATGCAATCTTTTTTTTTTAATTCATACCTAAAATGATAGGAAAGAAAATTTTTAATTTTAATTGATAGGAAATCGTGAGAATGTCATATTCTTAACAAATGTGTAGATAAAGGGATAAACGATGTATAATGGATAAAAGGGATAAACGATGTATAATAATAATATGAAATTTATTTAACAAAGGGACTCTCGTTATTAATAGTACCTTCACACTCGTCTTTTTAAGCGATTTGATTTTTAAATACATACATAATAAACATAGAAAACATCCGTACCGATACAAACGATCATACTCATGACTACAAATGTTTGCATCTTGCCAGTTTTTGAAACTGCAGCTATCGGAAGTAAGAGAGTGTGCTAAACCACTAGAACGAGTCGACGGCGTATTTTTTTTAATTTTTTGATAATACAATGCATAAATTTATTATCATCTATCTATCTATCATCATCTGCAAGGAGCAGGTGTCTGATATAAGTATAAGACCTGTAATGCAGATCAAGCCGTCAACAGAATGTACATGTCATATAAGTTAAATAAATTACGATGCTTATAATACACTAAATAACCTATAATCATATAATGTTTAGAGGTTAACTAAAAATAATAGTTAATGAATAAAGAGATGATACTATAGTATATAAATATACTATAGTATCATCACACATACGTAAATCAGCCGATCCGCTGAAAAACAAAGTGCAGTACAGAACTTTTAATAACGAGAGAACTCTTAATATCGTGGAGACAGGTAAAAAGAAAGGATTCTTTATACCTGTTTCCATCTCGCTAGATGTACACTCATATCATTCCATTATATTTTAGGAAAAGAGGAATAAAGCATATACATATAGCACAGTTGGTAAGTTCTGTAGAAGTCGATGTTCAGCTAAACTAACATTGCTTTTTAATGAGATTTATTTAAATATCTGGCAGGAAATATTTTGTCCATAATTTTTTTTTAATATGATGTGTAAATAATTTGTATTTATAGTGAAAATAAAACGTAAGTTTTTTGTCGGTATCGAGATAAATTGTTAGTTAAAGGAGTAACAAATACAAAGTTACGGTCATCAGCTACTTCCAATATAAAATGTAAATAATTTATGTGTGTATAAAGTAAAAATGGAATTATATTTTTTTTTTCATTTATTGATTCATGTTGAATTGTTATTATTGTTACATAAATTAACCTCTTTAAAATCTCTCTGTGTTACTAATATATGATGTTAAAAAAAGAGAAACTATATTTAATAAATATCTCTTGGATTTTTCATATTTATGAAAAGTTTACATTGAAAATACAGATTATTTAAACATTTTGTAACTTTTGTTGTATTGCAGAAGTCACAATAGTAGGCGTATTATGTTTTTAATTTTTATTACGATAAGTTTCATTTCATCTGTAGGTATGTGCGGAAATTCGCCATTCCCTCTACGATAGTATAAATATATGTCTGATTAATCATTATGTCTGTATTTGATTAATATTGGTTAAGTAATTACTCAACGGAACTTTAGAAACATATTTTTAATATAATTTAGGTACTTTACACGCTATAACTTTCGAAGATTTCGTTTAACTTTTTAAACTACTCCATGTTCTCTTCACTTAATTAATGTAGATTGTATTCTAATAAAATATTTAATATTAAACCATTATGATGGTTAATATATGTCAACATTTTCCTATATACAGTTTTATGTAAATATACGGCCACAGATCAAACAAAGATAGATCTTACTCTGTGGGCATGTTATTCGAGGGTAATATAATTTACTTCATGTCCTCACTATACATAATGTCTTCTATCTCTTTTCAACTGTTCTATGGACTTAATATTTTCTCAATGTTGGTCGTGACAGCAACATAATTTAAGCTTCTCCTATTAATGTATTTTGTTTTTACTAATAAACTATATGTATCTATTTTCAGTACTGATATACATATTAACTATATTGTTTAAGAATGTTCATTGCTAAAGTCATGTGTTATTTTTTTATACCACCCTGTGATTCTAAAAAGAGGTTACCATAGCCTATAGACACCTGTGGGCTAATTATCTATCTTCGATCGCAACGATTTTCGTAGTGAAGTTGCGTCATCTGTTAGTAATGCGATTATATTGACGGCATTTGACGCTGTCAACTAGCATTGCAACGTAATGGCTACGTTATATATCGATAAAAATATTTCTATTGAATGTTGATTCAGTAACTTCGTTGCAATGTCACAGAATGCCACGGTTACCGTATGTAACAAAAATAAGTTGTGTTTGAGTTACTAAACTCATTAATATATTATTTATTTATAATATTGATATTTATTTGTCTGTTATTTTGAGGAAACATGACATACAAAAATGAACCTTCTTAACCATTGAAAGAAGTACAAACCTTACTTTATAGTAATGCCTGGGAAAAGGAGAAAGCATTATGATGCCTCTGTCTATTTGCACAGTTATCTTAAAACAACACTAGTGTCTATTGCACGCTTAATAGGATGTATGCACTCTTTTTTTTTATTCACCTAACTACTAAGTACTGGTTAGAACTATGTAGAGACAATTTCCTGATATATGAAATTTGTAGTTATTAAGGGTGCGATATATACTTTATTTGTAGTAATTTTGTGTTGTAGAGCTTCACTAGCTTTAGCATGACACTTACAATTGAACTAATAACTAACTGCTTGTTTTCAGTAAATCCAAAATATATTCAGCCAGATTGAACAAAAAACAATTGTTATATGCTTTTTTAAAATATGTCGCGTTCATTATTTAGACTTTTAAGAAAATCGCAGGATCTTACCACGTTTTAATTATTTTACAATCGAGAACTCAATAGTAATAAATAAAACGTGGTAAGATCCTGTGATTTTCTTGATTTGTTATATGGTATTCAATGTTGCATGAAATTGAAAAAAAGTGTAGTTCTGCTATTACACAAAACTATGTATTAAGAACATAATAGAGACTTTCACATTTGTAGTATTAGTATGGATAAACAGTAACTATTTATAAGTACTTGTGTTGTAATTAATAGCTCATATATAATTCAGTACAAATTTATCGAGTGTCGCAATGAACATTCTAATAAAAAGGAAGTTAAGGAGTGCCTAATTATAATCTGAACAAGAATATTATTATGCACTATAAATGTGTGCGCAAAAATAAAGGAAGGTGAATTTTCCAACTAATTAATGTTGAAGGATTTACAAATTTAACATTTAATTATATTATATTAAATTGATTTGTATATAAGATCTGTGAATTACAATATGTCCAAAGTAATCAAAGTTTCGGTTAGCCCCGGGCAATTAACGAGTGATTTATGATATCGCCGCAGACAACTAAGGGGATAAGAGATTGTCCATGTTAAAAAGGTAACACCAAATATTGGTGTTAAATATCAACTTTTTAATATAAATCCATCATCATCATCATCAGCCCACTGCAGTCCACTGCTGGACATAAGCCTCTCCCAAGGCACGCCACTGGGCACGATCTTCAGCCCTTCTCATCCAGTTACTACCCGCAACCCTACGTAAGTCGTCGCTCCACCTAGCTGCGGGGCGTCCTACACTACGTTTGCCAATTCGCGGTCTCCACTCTAGAACACGCCTACTCCAGCGAGCATCGGTTCTGCGACAGATATGACCAGCCCACTGCCACTTCAACTTACAGATGCGAAGAGCTATGTCGGTGACCTTAGTTCTCTGGCGAATCACTTCGTTTCGGATTTTATCCCTTAGAGAAACTCCAAGCATAGCTCTTTCCATAGCTCGTTGAGCGACTTTGAGTTGGTGGACCAGTCGTATCGTCAGTGTCCACGTTTCGGCACCGTAAGTCATGACGGGTAGGACGCACTGGTTATAAACCTTGGTCTTAAGGCTTTGTGGTAGCGACGACGAGAAGACTTGACGAAGTTTCCCAAATGCCGCCCAGCCTAGCTGTATTCGTCTCTTGGCCTCCCTCTCAAAGTTGTTTTTACCTAGTTGGAGCGTTTGCCCTAGATAAATATACTCCTGAACAACTTCGAGAGATACTCCATTAATGGCGACCGGTTCCGGACGAATGCGATCATTGAACATGATCTTGGTTTTGTCCAAATTCATCCGAAGACCGATGCGTTGAGACGATTCAGCCAGGCCGTTCAGCATCTGTTGTAAATCCTGCAGCGACTCAGCCATGATGACAATGTCGTCAGCAAATCGTAAGTGAGAGATGTTCTCGCCGTTGACATTAATGCCGTAATTTTTCCAATCCAGCATTCTAAACATATCCTCCAACGCAGTTGTAAATAATTTAGGGGATATAACATCCCCCTGTCTTACACCACGCTTTAGGTGGATATGCTTAGTCTGCTGGGTTTGTACTTGGACGGTCATTGTTGCAGCGTTATAGAGACATCTCAACACTTCGATGTATCGCCAGTCGACTTGGCATCGCTGCAGAGACTCCAGAACAGACCAGGTCTCGATAGAGTCAAAGGCCTTCTCATAGTCAACAAAGGCTAGACACAGAGGTTGATTATACTCTTCTGTTTTCTGTATAACCTGCCTTACTGTGTGAATGTGATCTATGGTGCCATAACCACTTCGAAACCCGGCCTGTTCCGGGGGTTGAAACTCATCAAGCCTTCGCGCAAGCCGATTCGTGATGACTCTTGAAAATAGCTTGTATATATGGCTTAACAAAGAGATGGGCCGATAGTTCTTCAGTAGGGTTTTATCTCCCTTTTTGAAGAACAGAATAACTATGGCCCTACTCCATGCCTGTGGAGTTCTCCCGGTGAAGAGAACGGAATTGAAGAGTTCCTGAAGTACCGCAAGTACAGGAGTACCTCCAGCCTTCAGGAGCTCAGTGGTTATTCCGTCTTCACCTGGGGCTTTTCCATTTTGAGCTGTTTAAGAGCCATCACGATCTCGTCACGACTAATTTCGGGCATCTCCTCAGTGTAGTGGCGTGTCAGAGGAGCTCTGGAATCGACAACAAGAGATTCAGGCCGATATGCATGTGAGGCGTACAGTTCTCCGAAAAAGTCTTCAACTTCCGAGAGAATCTCCGGCTTAAAAGCGGTAACCGTCCCTGCAGATGTGGTTACCTTCGACAAGTGCCTCCTTTCTAGCTGTTGGACGAACACTTTTGATCCCCGATTCTGCTCAATTGCTTTTTCAATTAAAAGTGTGTTCGAGGATCGGAGATCACGTCGTACCAATTTTGAAATTTTTTTATTCAATACCCGGTGTTCTGGTGATGTTAGCGTTGAGGACTTGTCGCGTCGATGTTGAATAAGCTGCAGAGTCTCTCCCGAAAGTCTAGTCCTTTTTCCTGTACGCCTCTTCTCGCAAAATTTCGTGCCTTCATCCTTGAGGCAAGCTATTATAGTATCGAGTCTTTGGTCAATACTGTCTGTGGTTTCCAAAACCGCAAACCGGTTTTCCAGTTTTAATTGGAATGCTTTAGAACCAACGATGGTTTGGAGCATATTTGGCCAGAGCGTCGACTTCATCAGGCGTATTCTTTCCAGCTTGAGATCGATATTCAGAGAGCCACGAACTAATCTGTGATCGCTTCCGGTTTTAAACCTAGTGATCACAGAGACATCTCTGAATATACGCTTCTTATCCGTCAAGATGAAGTCGATCTCGTTTTTGGTCATAGAGTCGGGGCTCTGCCACGTCCACTTTCGTTGAGGTTGTTTCTTGAAGAAAGAATTCATCAAGAACAACCCCTCTTTCTCTAGAAAGTTGACGAGCATTTGCCCCCTATGATTCCTACTACCAAAACCATGTGGTCCCATAGCTGTCGATTCGCTGCCGGTTTGGATTCCCACTTTAGCATTAAAATCCCCCATAACAATGTTGTAGAATGCCTTTGAGGTGTTATGTATGGCCTTGGATCATATATATATATATAATAATATAAATCCATTTATTATAAATACATAATTTCAAATTAAAAAAAACAAAATATGGAACAAATGAAGCTATAAGAAGGATCATCTAATAGAATTTTATATTTGTTATACTAGCCTTATTAAATATAATAATAATTTTTATGCTTGTTAGTAATATTAATTATAGTAAATTTGTTTTTTATTTAATGATTTAAATTTTATCTTTACAGCCTCACGCTTGGTGTCTGATGCAATCAGGAAGGACAACTAAATTTATTTATAAAATCGGCGAAAGTACAAACTTTGTACGCTTTATACACTAGCTTCAGCACAACGTTAGGCATTTGTAAAATAAATAAAATATAATCTATGGTAAAATATTTTGAATGTTTCGAATTTCACAGTTATTTTTAGTATGGCAAATAATATACGGACCAATAACATGGTATTGCACCGATAGTGCGCTAAGACTCAAGTATAGTACCCACGGCATTACCAGGATATACCAGGTTATCAAAAACTTTGAAGCGTTCAATCGCGCCCGGCAGCGGCGCGTGACAGTCCAACGCAATTTGGGTCAAAAGTTTGTATTATTATGAGTCTGCGCTCATACGGTGCATCGCTCTATCGTTTTATTGAATTGCTTTAGAATCTATGATTGAGAGCGTTTAGTACTGTTATCTAATTTAAGAATTTCAAAAAGAGTTTTCTTGCCACTATATAGTCGGTACAAATTCTATTTTTTAATTTATAAACGTGTAATGGACCGAAAAATTAGAGTATCTTTTTCAATTTGAAAATGGAATACAATATCGATACAGCTGATAGCGGTGTATATGAACAATATACGAAACAATAACACAAGCATCGTTTACATTTCGTTAGGGTCTTTTAAATTACAATCTGAGCACTTTTACATATATTTTTTAAATATATTTCCTCATTGTCAATATTAAAACTATTTTCGTTTTTAGAGTCAATGCTACAAAAAAAACGCATGTATATAAAGGCCTAAAGCTAATTGTTTAAATTTGTACTTTTTAAAACAAACCATGTATTGTTTTTATGTCCATGTAGGTATTATTAAATATGTATTTTTTAATCGTGTTCTTTTTTACACTTTTCTTAGACTCAAATTCTTAGTGTAATTGTTTTTGGCCGATGTCTTAAGGCTTAGAAGCTAAGTAAATGTCCCTTTTAGTTTGTTATTGTCTATTTTAAGATGTGGAACAATGAATTCTTTATTCAAACAATGATTTGCTCAAGGAATGTTAGTATTTTTGTCTGTTGTTTATTTTTTCTCAGTTATAGTTAGAGTAATGTTAGTTTTCTAATATTCTCAAAATGTAACCTTAAGTATTGCCATAAATACGAGCTTTTTTAACGACTCGAAAGTGTTACCAACCTACCATAACTATCATTTAATATTTATTAAATATAATAATTTCAGACTACAATTTTTGACGTAATATGAAATTATGTAGTTATATCAGAATGAAACCCCCAACGTTGCCATTAATGTTGTTTACAACATTTTTCATATCCGTGCTTATGGTGTAAATCCAGGTTGTGCCTTTTATAGATCGTCTGTATTGTATTCACTCAAGGAATTGTTAAACTTGTCATTTTTTCACGTAATAAAATGGGATTCATTGTATTTAAGTTAGTTTTTTTTTACAATACTCTTCCCTTATAGGAGTTAATAATTATAATTTTATTTTGCTATCTTAATAAACCTTGTGAACTAAATGTGGATACTGCAATGCTACGAGTATTATAGATATCCGCGAAAATAGATTTATGTATATTTCTAACTTTTCACGCACGCTGTGTGGATTTGAAAGACATTTGTGAATCTATTTCTTAATTTTATTACAATTTAAATGAGATCGTCTATTTACAGTGGTTTATGTATAAGAGGTCGGGAGTCAGGCTGATACTTACTGAAAAAAACTGTCTATTTATATTTCTGCCTGATATGAATGAAACATCATATAACTACCAATGTGTTTGTATTGGTAAGGTACTCGTCATTGGCTTACATCCCATGAGAAGTGGCTCCCATCCCTAACATCCTTCAGGATGAGCCAAGGCTACATAGGCACCGGTAGTATACTGGATAATTTCCTGGCTTTTGACAAGTTGAAGAGAATCACTGGAGAATTTTAATGAGAAATCTCACATATGCCATTGGCTTGTAAAGGTGGGTGGTTGAGTCTGTATATTTCCTCTGTTAAAAAACGTAGTATTATACAGATATATAGGTTTTGGACAGCCAAGCTGTTGAAAGAACATGTTAATAATATGGAACTAATATGTTAATCTGCAACTCTCCCAATTTTTTATGGATGATAATAATATGGTGTACCCTCCTGCACTAACAATACTCACTGGCACCCCACCAGTGATTTTTTATCATAACACTGGAGATAAACGAGCTCGAAGTTCACCTGATGGTAAGTGATTACCGCACCCATGAGCACCCACATCACCAGGGGAACTGCAAGTGCGTTGCCGGCCTTTCACATAGGAATAAGCTCTATAGAATCTTAAGTGTACTATCAATCAATACAATTACAATACAATCTTAATTCTACCATGTTGCCTTCCAAGAGGCTGCATGGTAGTCATCCTGACTTGGTACATTATTGACAGCGGTGCCATTATTCCCCCCAACCTACAACCCCCACCCCCATAGAACCTTCAAAGGATGAATTAAAGTTAATAGCTTATACAATATATATAATAAAGAAAATGTATAACATAACTACAACTAAATATGACTATTGACAAATATAATGTTATTAAATTAAACGTTATGTACTAGATTCAGAGGCTTCGGTCTCTTTGGCCAATTTCTCAGATTCGGTTCGTCTGTTTCTCCATGCCGTCATGTATGTTCTGGGGTGGATGGGGAAGAATCCAGCCAATCCTGGAAGTAAAATACAAAAATATTTTATAAATCTAATTTTAGACTAAATTTTATGATTTAATTTTGTAATTAAAGATAGATAGATTGATTATATTTAGTAAAAGACCAACATTTCCACTGGACAAAAAAATAGGACCGACTAGCAAAAATGTTTTTACAAATAACCTTTAAACATTGTAAAATAGAAATTTTAATTTGTATTTATTATTCGTCAAAATATTATTTCACGACAATTCAGACAGTGTGATCTAGTCTCAAGCAGACCCAAGAAACACCCAGATTGATACAAACAATCTTAATTATGAAAACAATTTTTTGCGATAAATGGAACCCACTACCATCAGAAGCAAGATGCATGCTAAAAGGCTAACCATTGAGGTGGTCAAATTACATTAAATAATTAACTAAACTGTAAGATGTAATTGAAAATAAATTGTACAATTGTACATTGAATAACCAAACATATAGTCATCAAAATAATTATGTATTATTAATCTAGCATATAAGAATGAAGCACTTATTATGAAATTATGCATGAACATGTAAAAAATAAAGTAATTGCTTATAGTTTCACAGGTTAATAAATATTTAGTCTGGAAAAACATACCTAGTATTTCGGCTACTGGATTCGTGACATGAGCACCTTTGCCTAGCCAATATTTTATTCTTTCCAAATTCAAAGCTACTAATTTTTCATTGTAAACATTTGGTACTGGGTCGTAAGATCCGAGCTGCTCTATGACTGGCTGGCTGTTTAGGCGTCGGCGCTGAATATATAATTTAAAAAAACATTAATGTATAACCTAGAAGAAGCAGTAGCAAAATATTGTCTATTTTAAAACTTTTCGTAACATATATTTTACGAAAAAAATTAAAATTAAGGTTGTCGTGTGTATTATTTCAATTTACTACATAATATCCTTATTCTAAAGTTATAAAAACAATTATTGTTTGATGTACTTACGTGAGTTACAGCTATGTGAAAAAATGGTCTGTTTGTACAACCCTGACGAATCAGACGAATAGATTTAGCTGCTTTCGCATAATATAGACCAGTACCACTAGCTGGTGGTAATGGCATTTTAATTAAACTTTATTTTATTGTAATTAAAAATAAATATCAAATAATAACCTCAATCACAGAGGGTATTAGACATATGTCAATTAAAGTCATAATTTTCAAGAATTGACAAGCACTTGACAGTTGATTTAAAACAAACTTAATCCATATAGAGGGCGCTATTGTCTTATACTACTGCTTAGATAACATATATATATCTAAATATATATAAATCTATTTTCTCTGCGTCTTCATACATAGTGATATAGAAAAATACATCGGATAAATGATTGTTTTCTCGTTGCCTTACGTCCATACTCTTGTATTGTTTGCGAAATTTATATCCATATAAATATGATTAGTACATTAATACGCAGCTATTCGCTATTTAAATGTACACATATGATGACGCTTGTCTTATACTGATAATTTTCAAATGGTATTTTTGCAATTTGCCGCCAATTTAGTCGAACGATTGTTGACTAAATAGACAGTATAATGGAATAAAACATACTCCACATGTTATGGGAAGTTTCATAAAATAAGTTAGTCAACTCAGATCAATTAAGCATTTTCTAATATTCGTGGCATTCGTTGAAGAGTGTCTCGTACGGGTTGTAGTTATAGAAAGTCACCACGCATTGACAACAGTTTTACATGAGATGATACAGCAGTTATGGGTGAGCAATGGGAGGTCCTCGCTCAGACGTCGTCGCATACTGCGAGATAGTAACGACCTCCTGTACCGCCTCTATACGTCGAAGACAGTCAAGACGGAGAAGGAGGGATTTTGTTCTCCTCCCTCTGCAAGGGCCAGGAACGGCGGCGGTGGAGTCGCCTGGTTCCACGTCGACATCTCTGGCCTGAGAAAGTGCGCGCGTGTACCCATGCTACTTCTCTTCAAGAAGAGTAGTGGTCCATCTATTGAGATTGTTCCCGTCGTCGGAACTGCTCGTACACGCACTTGGCACCGGCACTGAGCGGTAGAGGTACACCTTGGGTTTTTGCCGGTAGTAGTCCGGCAGTACCCGTTCGATACGCATGGAGCGGATATGTCTCCACGACGTATTTCCCTAAATAAGAGAAAATGCCTTTTCTAATATTAGCGTAATCAAAGATTTGGGTACGATGTGTAATTTTTTTTTAATATTTTTTATCTATGATCTTTGATTACAGTAAGTATTAAGAATATAGATGAAAATTTCTAGCATAAAACTTGACTTTACTTACCTTCATAATACATAATTATTCAGTACTCTACAATGTATAACCGTATACCTATATAGAATTTATTGAATTTAACGGGTCGTTTGCTGTTTAAAGTGGCATTAAATGACTCATTTGGCAATTACAATAGATCAGAGAACATTAACCGTGACAGGGTCATGCGTGTATAACGAGGAATTACGAGCCAGACCGTTTCTGAAGTTCACCTGCGAAATTATACTGAAATTGTTGACAGAACGATGTATATTTAAAAAAAACCATTTATAAATTAATAGTAATAAAATAAATAACAATTTTAAAAACAATTTCATATTTTCAAACCATGAGGTAGACTGTAAAATGTCGATTGCATGGGTATTTCAGTTTTAACTATTTTTCTTAAATAGATGATAATGAAATGGTGTACCCGTACTGCGCTAACGGTGTACGCTTGCAGGGCACCAGTGAATGATGATAAGGTGGCCATGGGGTCAGGCCAGTCAGACCATCATGACAAATTTAGCAGGAATATCATGATGGTTTCCAGGGGGAACCGCGTGGAGGTCAACCTGACATGGTACACTGCTAGCATGTGGTTATTAATCGACAATACTTACAATCCTCTTCCTCCTTTTACAGAAGCATTGTCAACTGTCGATATCATGTTTAAGAGAACTTAACATACCCAGCGAACACTGGGTATAATTATTTGGATTCAACGAGGGCAGGGAAAAACCAAGGGGCGAGTCTAATTCCGACTTTCAGATTTAACTGACGTGACCTCATACTCATCTCATCAACCTCCACTGGTGCCTCGCCAGCGTATACCGTTAGCACAGGCGAGGGCACTATTCCGTTACCGGGTGTAAAAAAATACATGAAACATAAGTTTTGTGCTTCTTTATATGAATATTAAGCTGACGAAAGAGTATGTATTTGGTATTGTTAATGTTTATATAGAGAGAGAATGCAGAAAGTATTATATTTTTTTATAATAAAATGCATTTAATTATGTAAAAAAAAACATTACAGTGCACTCTACCACGCGTTTGATATATTTAAAATATTTTTTATGAATATTAAGCTGATGTAAAGGGTATGAATTTGGTATTGTTAAAGTTTATATAAAGAGAGAAAGCAGAAAGTATTGTATTTTTTATAATTTAACATTCAATTTAATTTTGTTCATAAAAGAAAACATTACAGTGCACACTAACACGCATTTGACATATATAGAATACGTTTCCAATTTGAAACTAGAACCTTAAAACATTCAAGTTTCAAAATATAAATCACTGTTGTTATTGTTCTTTTTTATACTTAGAACTCACTCTTAAAGATCAGAATTGTGAAGAAAATAAATTGAAGGAAATATAATATCAGAATACTACAGAAGATAATGGCTGTACTCTAGTAGGGCCGAGTCTGTTTGCTTTTCCGTGAGACGGGAAAAACCGAACAAAACCAGCATTTTTTGTTTGGTTAAATTAACTTAAATTTTTAAAAGTTTTGTCTCATAAACTTAGATTGTAAGTTGGTACAAAATTTATTATTATAGATTTAACGACTTTGTGTATGAGATAGGGTATGAATTAAATAGTTAAAAATAGATTACATCCATCTTCATCCTGAATATTATAGGTATTGTGTCAATCTGTCTGACTCATCTAATAATAATGATTATCGTCTAAAAGCTGTAATTATCAACCTCTAAATTGGGTTTCCAGCGTGTATTCTATATCTACATCTATCGTATCCATGTCCAAATATGATCAGACGCTTTTCCAAATATAAAGTCACGATTAGATGGACATTGGATTCAATGGTGATCACGCATTTTTAATAGGAAATTCCCATGAGTCAGTCGGTGGGTATTTTTTACTTTAATTTGGATGTTTCACCTTTAACTTAATATTCATTGTATTAATTAATAATACTCAATAATATACAATTTCTTAATACTCATTGTAAGTTAGTTTAAATAAGTGAGAAATTTAGTTATAAATTTGTGTTCAGATTATATGTTTCGCAAAACGGGATAAAATTTATATACATTAAGATTTTTGTAAGGAATATATACGGACCGCTGGCATCTAGCTATATAAAAAAATCAGCAAAAAGTCGATCAAAATGGAGATTCCAGTGGAGTACTTATTACTAATTAAGTTAAAAGGAGAATCTGTAAAAAAAGGTACTGAAAAGATGTAGGATGAAAGGTTATGGCAACAAATATACGAGTACATAGATTGTGAAAATGGATGGATGCAAGTGCCGGGGTGTGGCCCAAACTATCCTATCATGCCGACATTGATTTTTGTCTGTTGGAGGATTCATGAGTTCCGAAACCGGCGAGAAATCATGAGACGAAATATTAATCTGAAATTGGTTTTGTGTGTAAGGAAAAACAGAAGCCAATGGGATTGGTTCTCTCTGCATAAACATAGATAAACGAAATGGAAGCATTTTTTTATTGATTTCTGTAACTTTTTTATGTACTATAATTGTTGTATAGATACCAGGACATTATAAAACTGCAGAATTTTACGAGCTAATTCTCACATCGGTTGGTGCTACTGACGTTGGTTTATTTTTACGAGTGCGCGCTCTTGGATATTCCACGCTTTTCATTCATCGTCCGAATAGGGATAGAGATGATATGATGGGGACATCGTTATCGACAAATCTGGTATACCTTACTAATTATTGAAAACTATTTAACGGTAGCACAATTATAAAGGTATTAGGTATATGTTTATTACTCGATCAAATGTATATTACAGATGAACGGAATTTAATGCATTTAGTAGCCCTATGCCAAATGTTGACCTAATCTGTCGTGCTGTAGAAGAGTAAAAATAATTTTAATAGGATTTACAGTTAAAATATTTAATAAATAACGTATATTATTTAATTTTGCAATTCTATTTTTTATACATTTAGCAAAAATATTGCAACCAACCTGATTGAAATTGGTAATCAACAGATATGTACGGACATCACACACACCCAGGCATGTGTGTGACCCGTGTCCTAGTAATATACTACAATATAGTCACCCCTACTCACAAATATGACTAGAGTTTGCAGAATAATAAATAAGAGTAAACAGAATTGAAATCCGCTTAACGGTATAGTAGAGAATAAAGAGATAGGGAGGCCTACTAGGTCTAACTCTAGCTAGAAGTATCTATGGTAAATTGGTTAATATACATTTTATTTCTCTCTACTCCAACATATTTGAAATAAGAGTCCTTTTACTATTGATTATTCGAACAGCATTTAAAAATATTCTTCTTAACCCAAATAGAAACAATTTTGTCTTGTTAAATTTATCGACATGTTCTTTTCCACGCAACACTACACTCTTCCCGATCACTACCAGAGTCTGACCGACATAATGCCGACCTTACATGAGACAAAGACGGCAGTATATACAATTTAATGAGTACGAAAAGGATGCACTACATAAGTGGGTCACGGGATAAGAGTCATCTTAGAGATGCGCTGTCGCGCAGCGCTACTTTGCTGAAAGGTTCGTAAATAGGAAAATGGGTGGTTGAACAGTGCTCTAAAAATAGCCATAGCATTTCTTAGGGACAGTTGAAATTAATGACATTCCTAATAAGCGTAAGCTTGATTGTTCAATAATATTTATCTAACCGTAATGGTGGGCGTACACACTCTGTAAATTAAGACAATATTCACATCTGCTCCAATGTCAATATATAATTTGTATGAAGATGTGTATAATACGTAAATGGATTTATTATTTTAATGTCTTTCAAGAATTCATTATGTAAAAGTACATAAAATGATAGTCAAAAGGATAAGGTAGAGATATAAGTACTTAAAACTTAAATTCTAACTACATAGGTACATTCAATGAACATAAAAGCTGTATAGTTAATTATTTTAGATATTTATTTAGTTAGTGATGTTGTCTCCCCTGCTGATAGTTGCGGGTTCGATTCCCACATAGTACAAACATTTGTATACTGAGTGTGTCGATTTGTATTAGTTTACGTGTTAATCGAAGTGTTTAAAAATGTATTAAATATGCCTATTAGTTGTCTATTAGATCTATTAGATCTCAAAGTACTAGAACTGCTAAGCTATACAGAACTTGTAATATGGGCTAGTGCCCATATCATAGTTGATAGAGCTGTAAGTATGAGCGGATCATGTCAGTTCGACTTCAATTATAATATTTTACCCAGTCAAAACATATATTACCAGTTATAATGTTGAAGTGAATTTGATTTGTGATTAATTAGAAAATGTATACCAATGTAAATTTTTAACAACCAACGATAAGAAAATTACAACCTTTATTATCTCACAACTTTTTACGATGTAAAGAACTTCAGTACTTTTTAAGTTTTAATGTTTTTAATTTTAATTTATTTATTTATATATATATATATATTTATTAAATTCTATTTCATTATAACAAAGTCAAATAAGAAGAGGTACCTACTCTATTTAACTATTTATGTATCTTGACGCTAATTTGCTGGCAGTCGTAGAGTTAATGCGTAATTATATTTATAATATCGCTTAGTAAAATATTTATTAATGCTAAATTTAACAAATCTTAAATTAATACATAATATCAATTATGTTGCCGCACCGTTGATCCCGAATGCAGCGCTGTAGCGGCTTAGTTGTCAATGCTCGCATGCGCACTATCAACGGATCGATCGGCCGTCCTGTAGCGTTCAGTGGTCGCGCGCCCGTCAACACGTCCACTACACCATGCGCACCCATTGACGCGGGAATCGAGTCAAGCTGTATCTCCGCGAGTACGCCGGCGAGGAGGAGCGGCCGCCGTGCCGCGAAGAGTGGCGCCGGCAGGAGTGGGCCGGCGGCGCGCGGGGCCGGCTCCCCCAGGTGGACCGCAGCCCCTCGCGCCGCAGCCCCTACCTCGCCAGAGATGACGAGCCGTCACCGGCGCCCGACGAGCGGGGGCGCTCCGCCTCCGCCGGCGCCCACCATCGCGCCAGACCCAGGCCCCTCCGCTACCAGTCCCTCGAGAGGGACTACGACCGCTCCTACGCGCCGCCGCCTCCGCCCGAAGATGACTACTACAGGCGGGAGCCCCCTCCTCTCTTCCTCGGGGAGCTGCAATCCCAGAACTCCGACCTCCAACGGGAGCTGGGTAATCTCAAGAAGGAACTGGAACTGACGAATCAGAAGCTGGGCTCCAGTATGCATAGCATAAAGACCTTTTGGAGCCCGGAGCTGAAGAAGGAGAGGGCGTTGAGGAAAGAAGAGAGCGCCAAATACAGCCTTATTAACGACCAACTGAAGCTGCTCAACCAAGAAAATCAGGTCAGTGCCTCAATTTTACTCATTCATGGTATCATTTAGGAAGTTAAGCGACCCTATAAATCGTTTATGAAACGCGTCCAAGAATTTTCGTTTACGAACTCGCAATTTTGAATCCTATACAGGAATTACTTAAGTAGATATTTAAATAAGACAGTGTTATACTTACATATAGCACTGTAGTAGATCTAATCAAATGTAAAAAATATATAACAGTCTAATCAAATAAGCATTAAGCATGTACTTAAAATGGAACTCTTCCTTAGACAAATATTGAGATTAAAAAAAACTCATTTGATAACTTCACTCACTATTATTGCATTAACTTAAGAATATAAAAAATAGAAAAGCTTCAGAGTCCATATCCCTTAATTTGTAATTTTTTATTTTGCGTTATATCAAAGATTACAACATTTGGGAATTATGGGAAATGTTACATTAGATAAGAGTGCGATAATATTTTTTTATCTAATAACTCGTTTGTAATTATAACTTGTAAAGAAAACAGATATTTCTTAAATTCAGCTTCAATATGGATGTAACACAGCCCATAGACTATTTAGTCCGTGGCTTCAATTGTACACCTTAAATTTTTTCCTCATAGCAATTCCACAGATCTACATCGAATCGAGATTAAAAAAATAAATTATTGATTGCAGTCATGGCTGTACTGTCATTCGTTCTTTTTAAAGGTCATAAAGGGATCTTAAAATAGACCGGGGGGAAGGGGATTGTTAGTAATGTGGATTGATACCCCATTGCTAGCAATGTACCATGTCAGGTCGACCTCCATGCGGTTCCCCCTGGAAACCATCGTGTTAAATTCCTGATAATTTTGTCACGATGGGCTAACTGACCTGACCTAATGCTCATCTTATCATCCTCCACTGGTGCCCCGACAGCGTAAACCGTTAGCGCAGGCGGGTAAACCATTCCATTATCATTCACAAAAAAAAACACGTGACAATCTTGGGGAAAGGGGATTGTTAGTAATATGGACCGATGATCTTATTGCTAGCAATGTACCATCAGGATGACCTCCAGGCGGTTCCCCCTGGAAACCACCGTGATAAATACTTTGTGAATTTGTCACGATGGGCTAACTGACTTGACCTCATGCTCATCTTATTGTGCTCCACTGGTGCCCCGACAGCGTATACCGTTAGCGCAGGCGGGTGCACAACTCCATTATCGTCCATAAAAACCCGGAAAAAAGCTCAATAACAAAAATAGCAATAATTAAATAAGACACTATAATAGGAATATCCCGTTAGGTTCCTTAAGCTGTATCCAGAGAGAACCACATGCTTCTATCCTTACACACAACGACAAATTGTGTGCGCATTGTGTATTATACGAGATTACATGAGATGAGTTGCAAAAGTGAATGAAACAAGAATTTCATTCACTTTCTTCACTCAATCTCTCTCTCTCAATCAGCAGCACCGTTATCTGATAATTATCACTAATTCTGATAATTATTGCGCTTTTATCGATACCTGCACCCTTCTACTATCGATTTCACATGTTTTCCGCAATTCTGTATCAATTTCTATTAACAAAAGCAATGAAATAGTTATTCTTAAATGTTAATGTTAAAATTAATATTTGGATTACAGAAACCGTTTTGTTATGTAATAAAAATAACTTACAATCTATTCTATTGTACAATAAATCTTAAAATAGACTGTATAAATTGGTTCTATATAGAAAATCAATGATACAGAGTTTCCAATTTCAGATAGAGCTACAGTTTCATATGTCACTGATAAAAGTACAGACATTTAACCTACTTTCAAGGATTGTTGAGTGAGATCTCCCCATAGCATTTTACGACCAATCTTCAACGTTTATGTTTAAGAAAATCTAATATATACATTTGTATATATTAGATTTTCTGAGTAGTAAATAAATTACATACTCATATGTATGGATATCATTTATTTAATAAACGTTGTGCCTTCAACTTCGTCTTGTAGTGATTTTGACCAAATAAAGAAAAAATATTAAATAAACTAACCCAAAAAACATAAAAAAAGAAGTTTCATCGTTAGCCTCAAAAATGACAAATTTCCATACAAATTTTATTTTATCCCTTAAGGATAACACTTTTACCAACTTTGAATGTCGTATTAATCAAATGCCTAAGAAATAAGTTTCAAGCGTCTAGTTTTAATTACCTTTCATTTCTCCTTTCATTTTTTCTATTTTATATTTAATCAATAGGCTAAAAAATAAGTTTCAAGCTATACTAACTTTAAAAATGACAATACTTCCATACAAATTTTTATCTCCCATTTCAATCCCTTACAAACTTTTTTCGGGTCAGAAAGTAACCTATATCCTTTCTCAGAATTTATACTATCTGTGTGTTGGTTAGTTTTGGCGTGAAATTGAGACACGCAGACAGATAGATAGGAGGATTAATTTTATAATTGATATATTATAAAATTAATCCTCCTATCATATATATATTATCATTTGCATGCTTATTGGAAAAAATGAATATTATAAGTATATACAATAATATATAATGATATGTAAAATGAATCGTATAATTCGTAATATTTCATAGAAGTATTCTGAATATATTATTTGATTCTAGTAAAATAAGAGGTATGTTTATAACATTATATATATCTTATGATTCATTCACGCATCGTAAAAACGTGATATGAATCGGTTTTATTTTAGTAATCTTAGAATACAGAACACGTTCACGACTGAAGAAAAATTACAAACATTGTGTTTGTAATTTTTCTTCAGTCGTTTTCGTTTGTTCGCTTTGAATGAATTTCGGCCAATCGATCACTCATTATTTGTATCATAGACAATGTTTTTATAGGTTACTAGCTGGCCCGGTAAAGGTTGTTTTGCCATGTAAATTAAAATAGCTATTAAAAATAGAGGTTGGTGATGAAGGGTGAAAATTTAAAGTTGTATGTATTGTTAAAGCTACGTTATAAAAAAAATTAGAAAAATAAATAGTAGTCGATTCTCAGACCTACTGAACATGCATGTAAAATTTCATGACATGAGAATGTTATATATGTATAAGAGTAAATTGTCTATCTATCAGTTCTGAAAAATGAAATAATAAATATAGGAAATATTTAAACATCACACTTATATGTACGTTTGACAGAATTCCAAACTAAAAGTACACATAGAGATATATATCTACTTTTGGATTGGATTTCTAAATTTATTACTGTATTTTCTGAGTGCAAAAAGGAGTGTATAAAATTGATAATAAAAAGTTAGATCAACCCCTAAGCTGTTTACAATCTTCTTACTCAACAAGAATTGTATTCTTTGATCCCAAACGAGATGAGTCATTGCCTTGAATTGATTTATAAATTGGTTTTGTTGGTGATTTACGGCTATAAAGTTGTTTTTGTCTATGCCAACTCAGATTAGATTAAATTAATTTGTTCTCATTATTAATATAATTTATAATAAAATAATAATGAATATATCTTCATGACTATGATCCTAGATGGAGTAGTTAGAGAGATTGTTAACAGTCTATGTCTTGGTTTTTTTTTAAATGGATGAATATACTACAGTACCCACGCATGCGTTAAGGGTACACGCTGGCGGGCTCCAGTGAAGGATGATAGGTTGAGCATAAGACTAGCTCAGTTAGCCCATGGCGAATTCACTAGGAATTTATTTATTCTTGATTAATTCCTAGTGAATTCGCCAGAGTTTTCAGGGGATCCGCGTAGTAGTCAAGCTGACAAGGTACATTGCTAACAACGAGGAACTTGGGGAAAGGGGTAATGTAGAATGTTGACCCCATTGCTACCAATATTTCATGTCAGATTGACCTCCACGCGGAAACTATCACGATAAATTTTTGGTGAATATGTCACGACGGGCTCACTGACCTGACCTCATCTTATCATCCTCTACTTGTGCCCCGCTAGCGTAAACTGCTAGCACAAGCGGGTACTCTATTTCATTATCACCTATAAAAAAATCTAACTGATTATCTCAGGCTGCTTTTCTATGCACCTAATAGGAATGACAATCAATCGGCCCGCTAGATTGTAAGTAGTAAGCTTTAGAGGTTCTAGGTTATTCTCTCACCTGTGTATAAACAGTCCCCCGAAACATTACGTCGAATACGAGTATAACACCAGAATTACAACGCATGACGTGTCATCCGTTGCTAGGAGAACTAAGATCCTGTTATTTACCGTTCAACGGAAACACAACATATAAACTGCTTTAAGTCTGAAATAGGTATAGAGGTGCATATGAAGATGACTATTGATAAGTCTATCTCCGTAAACACAAAGGCAGCTGCAAAAAAGTTGGGTGTGTCCATGATTACCATAATTATGTAGTGTAACGGGATATCCAATCGTCTCGTCGATCGTTATTCTCATAAATCTGAAGTCAGCACATTGTGTTGTATATCAGTCATCGATATAAATATTCTTAGTATATATAAGTACTACCAGCAATTATGTTTATACTTGATGCGCACTGCATCACTTCAAAGTTTTAACTATAATATTTATAATACAACAGTATTGTTAATATTATTATGGAAACACAAAAGTATGAGCTTCGTATATTAACATATTAACGTAATTTTGACCCTGGCGAAGACTATCGACCATTCAATATCTACTTATAAAACTTATTATTTGACGGCCTCGGTGGTCTAGCGATTTAGAGCACCGCTTACTTTCGATGGTCACGAATTCGGTTCCTTACACGGCACAAACATTTGTATTCATGAGTATGATTGTTTGTATCGGTCTGGGTGTTATCTATGTATATGTAAATATCTACATACATATTGTATGTAGATATTTACATATATATATTTGTATCAGTTATCCAGTACCCATAATACAAGCTTTAGCTAGCTAACTTGGGTCTAGATGGCGCTGTGTGAATTGTCCTGAGATTACCATTATCATTATTTGATAGACAGTTAGCTCTGGATTTTTTCGTACCCCAATAGTAGTGAACAGCCAAACGGC